GTTGCGGGGTTTAAGTGTTTACTTTAGGTATGATACCTTCTAATCCAGGGGTTCACGAGCTACTAGTCTGCAGAGCCCCATGCCCCCGAACTGCCCCTCCTCTCGGCTTCTTTCGCCATGGAATGGTGCAGGTTTGCTTTCCCGGTGGCGGTTTGGAGTCTTTTGCTGATTTGGCTATGTTGCAACTAATCCGATTCCCCGCGCTGGTGCCGGTACGGCAGTGCTAGTCTGTCCATGTGTAGAATTCTTGAGCTTGTTTCCCGTTGTCTCACTCAACGGGTAGAAAAACAAAGTGGCTTGATTTGTTTAGTTTGCCCTGCGGCCGTCATAGATGTAATAGGCAGAGTTTGATGCTACAGTACAATCTGTGTATGGGTTTCGATTCAGGCACGGGGTATTGCGGGTGTTGTGCTGCAGCAGGTGAAACAATGCATGGCCGTGCTGCGTGGACCTCAGTAAGCTTTCTCTGACTGTGGCAAGTGGTAATATCGAAGCCTGGATAACCTGGATGGTTGTTTGCGCTGTTCCTAAGGCTCCTTATCCAGTTTAGACTACAATATACCGTATACCCCAAACCACTACGTCAGCCTGAAATCCCCATCCCTGGATTTAAATTTCCGACCCTCAACCCCTAATCCCTAAACCTTGAATCACTTGGGGTGGGTGGGGCATCGAGTTCAGCAGGCAGAGCTTCTGAGCTCTTGTTGCCGTGTTTAGAACTTTTCCTTGCCTACGCGGCTGTAAGGCCAGGGCTTCGAGTAGCGTTTAGGGTTCAGGGTGTCTTGAGCTTCGTGTTGTGTTGCGACATTCCTGTTTTTCTTGACATTTCGAGATCAGAAGCCCACGAACCTCGCAGCCCCCTTAAACCTCTCAACTCCAATTTATCAATATTAGATAGTATTTAGGGTTTCGAGTTTCTTGCAACTTACCCTAGGCCTCCCAAGCCGTAAACCCTACCGCATGCCCCAAACTCTGAACCGTTACAGCCCTAAGTCCTGAGTCATTATAGAGCCCAACAAGAACCCAGTACATACAAAATTTTGGGATCTCGAAGCCTAACGCTTCACATAGATCGATCATAGACTCATAGACCACACGCCTTCAAGAGAAAGCCCTGGATCACAAAGTGCGATTGGGTTTCAAGGTTCGGGTATGTCTACTCATCGGCCCCACAGTAGTTCCTTTTTGGGGTTACCTTATAGGATTCTAAATATGACCCCAAAAGGAACTGTAGCGTCTAGAGCCCCGTCTTCATGCCCCTTTCAAAAAAACTATGTCATAGACCCTATGACCCTATGAGCCCCGTAAACTTGAAATCAAGTCTGTACCAGAACAAGTATGGAAATATGTCTTAGAATCCCTAAACCTTAAAGTCCCTCTAGGACTCCACCCACCCCCCTGTAGATGGATGAACACTGTAATTCTTACCATGTCTTTGGCCCACTGTGTGGTGTTTGGCAGGCCTTCCTCGGTCGAGAAGAACGTTTAAGGGCTTGAGGCTTGTAGTTTATAGGGCTTTAGGGCAGTTTAGGGTTGTAGGTTGTGGGTTGACGGTCTAATTCGGGTTTTCGCGCTTAGGGGTTTAATTGTCCGGCCAGCCGGAACAATATGACAAGTCTGGGTGCCACAGGTGGGGTCCCTCACTAATTAGGGGCGCCAATGGGAACACAGGATCGGCAGTAACAATGCCCAACAAACGCCCAGAGTGGTGTGTCGCAATCTTTCCGCAACTGTCCACCACTAGCCATTGCGGCGCCCCGCAACCATAGCCTCTAGTGAACCCTCAATTCCATACGTGAGATGTGCTTGCCATGGTTTTGGATAGCTTGGAAGAGTTCACGCGTCTGCTCCCGAAACACCCGCGACCTGCAAACACTCATAGTTCCACCCTTCTCCTCGCCCTGCTTGCTGGTGATAATTGACAATAGTACCCCTTTTCGGGTTGCCAGTTTATCGTGAGCCTGGAACCTTGTCATGCGTGCCGACTTGACTTGTCTCATATTGGCAAGCTCAGAACCAAACGACGCAAGCTCGTCGGACGTTCCGTGTCCTCCTGGTGTTCTCTTTAAGTTTCTGGCTATACCGGCATCTTATTCTTATCTTGCATAGGCCAGCTTCATTAGCTTGATCAGCTAACTTTTGAAATGCCTCATGGCCGCTTACCTCGATACACCCGTGCGGTCATCCTAAATTCGCCTACCCTGGCCTCTATGAAGCTTAAACCCTACATGAACCCCCCTCATCCCAGCCTTGCAATGTTGATGCTTCCACCAGCTCCGCCCTAGCAGGGTCGAGGTCAACTTCCGGACTCTCCGACGTTTGCAGCTTTATGGTTATATGTATGCATGCATGTATGTAAGTAAATGTGTATGTATGTGAATGTATATGTTATGTGTGTAGACGTGTGTAGATGTGTAGATGTATATGGGTATATGCGTATGTATATATATATATATATATGTATGTATGTATGGATGGATGGATGTACATATGTTACATGTTTTTGTGTATACGCACATGTATATGTGTATGTGAAATTGTATGTATGTATGTATATATATATATATATATATATATATATATTCATGCGTAGATATGTAGGTATGTATATATGTATGCATGTATATATGTATGTGTGTATATATGTATATATGTATATATGTATGTGTATATATATATATGTATATGCATATGTATATGTATATATGTTTGTATGTATTTATATAATATATCTATATGTGTAGATGTGTATATGTGTATACGTATACATGTATATGTCTATGTATACATGTATGTATGTATGTATGCATGCATGTAAGTGAGTGTGTATATATGTATATGTATTTTGTACATGTATATGAATAAGTATTTGTGTATGTTTATGTTTATGTCTATGTCTATGTACCTGTATATGACATCACATATATGTACACATATCTAAATATGCATATATACATATATATATATATGACATCACATGTATGTACACATATATAACGATACATATACATATACATATACATATACATCTGGAGATAGATATAGATATACATATACATTTACATATACATATATATATATATATGTGTGTGTTCTGTATATGTATATGTATATGTATATGCACATGTATATGTATATGTATATGTATATGTACATGTACATGTACATGTACATGTAGATGTGTATATGTATATGTATATGTATATGTATACGTATATGTATATGTATGTGTACATGTATATGTATAAGTATATGTATATGTGTATGAATATGTATATGTATATGTACGTATGTATATGTACGTATGTATATGTAGTATGTATATGTATATGTACGTATGTATATGTATATGTACGTATGTATATGTATATGTACGTATGTATATGTATATGTATATGTATATATATATATGTATATGTATATGTATATGTACGTATGTATATGTACGTATGTATATGTACGTATGTATATGTACGTATGTATATGTACATGTACATGTATATGTATATGTATATGTATATGTATATGTATACGTATATGTATATGTATATGTATATGTATATGTATATGTCTCTGTTACTGTCTATACTATGTCTCTGTCCATGTCCCTTTCTCATGTACTGTCCTTATATTTATATTCCTATGTTTAAGCCCGCGACTCCATAGACGTCCAGCAGCGATACGGGAGCTCCGTGCGAAAGCGCAGCCAGCTCAGCGCGAAGCGCGGAGCGGGCGAGCGCCACAGGAGAGAGCCAGACAGAGCGGAGAGAGAGAGAGAGAGAGAGAGAGAGAGAGAGAGAGAGAGAGAGAGAGAGAGAGCCAGTCGAAGGTGCGGTCCCAATCGCCGATTGTCGGTCGGAGCATACCCGCATCGTTATTCTCAGCCCATCAACTATTGCGTGCATTGCGTTCGAAGCGTTTGCCCGTGTTGCTTTCAGACGTTACGAACTGGTTGGAGCTTCGCAACTGAGGGATTGGGTCTTGTGTGCAGGTCTTGGGTTTCCATTTAAGGGTTGGGGGTTTTGGGTGGTTTATACATGTAGGAACTTGTGCTTTAGGGTCTTTGACCGGATCTTGAGGGACTGTCTTCCATGCCCTGCTGATGTGGAGCGCGTCTTCCTTTCGTGCTGTGTCTAGCAAAGTTCGAAGACACCATGAAACCGGAGCTGTTGGGAAGGCTCTCTTTGTGTATACCGTCGCGCCAACCCTAAACCCTGAACCCTAGGGTTAACATTGTCCCCTAAGCCTACCGAGTTTTCGAGGCTTCAAAGACAAATCACGTGACCCCCTGTTATGACCCCCTAAAGTGCCGGGACTCTTGGACTCAGCTGGGGGAGGGAGGGGGAGAGGGGAGAGGGGAGGGGAGGCGGGAGGGAGAGGGGCGGGGAGGGGAGGGGAGGGGGAAGGGGAAGGGGAGGGAGACAAGAAACGGGGGGAGGTGGGGAGGGGTAGGAACCACAGTCAGGGGTGCATAAAAGCAAATGGAAAGAAATGGGAAATATCTTATGCACCCCTATTTCTGGGAGCGAAGTTGGCGACGTGTGAGCGCGAGCCTTCTGTATCCGAACAAAGGGGCTGTGCAAGAGCAGGCAAAGGGCTTGATTTATGCACCCCTAGTTTTGGTATGCCACGCTTGATCCCCTCGTCTGCTGCTTCCTCCAAATCAGCATATATGGAGGAAGATTATAAAACCTTTTCATAATGGTTTCAGAATCTTTATGAGAGGGTTTCATTTTTTTCCAGATTAGCGGTGCATCTGAGAGGTGCATAGGAAATGTCTTTGAAGGCTGGAGCCACTCAATTATTCGAGGCACGAGCGCATGTCAAGGAAAACTGGGCGAGCCTTTGCTCCCCTGCATCATCCCTCTTGCAGGCGTAAAATCGGAAGCCTGAACATTTTGTCTTATAGGGTTCCTTATCATCTTTGTTCTTTAAGTGTTATCTCCAGAACCGATGGTCTTTGGGTTTATCCCCAACATGTCGGTCATGCCTGATGTGAGATGTGCACTTCAGTGCCCGTCTCCTCCCGGGAGTTCATGAACCTCTTCTTTGAAGCCCCACATCTGGCAGGTACTGATGCAGGGATCGGAATACCTGACATAACAGAAATCCTTTACAGGATCGTACTTGCGTAGTTATAGCATATATACTCAACCCCCGAAACAAAAGCTTTTTTAGCTGCGAGCCAGGCCCTTGCAAAATTGCAGGCCTTGCCGACCACATGTGCCGCACAACCGAAGCCCACCCTACGCCACGAACGCCTACACCCTTACGAGATCCTAAAGAACATACCATATACCGCTGCTGGGGTTTAGGGCTTAGGGTCTAGTTTCCGATAATTCAGAACTCTTGTGCAGCCCAACAGCCTGTACTGAGGCACGAGAATGTCCGGGAGGCCCATGCGGACATCCTCGAGGACGCAGCTACAGACTCCAACATCCCTAAAGCGCCCGCCTCTTGAGGGTTTTGGGGCTTAGGATTTGGGCCCTCTTATTCAGGGTATAGGGTCTACTACGCTTCGGAGCTGCTTGTACAAGTTTGGTCAAGGGTACTTGAGAGTTTGAGTTGGGCTTTAACATAGGATTGTTGATACCCACATGAGAAGTACGAATATGTAGAGCTCTCAACAATTGGAAATAGTGTCCTTCGCAGGCCCAACATAGTTATGCAGCCAAAATACCCCAAGCCACCGTGTATAAGATCCCTGAAAGTAAACTGGAACTCTGAACTGGCTACAGCACCAAACGCCCCAGGGCCAGGGAGTACACAAGTTCAGTTTAGGGCTGCGGACTTCGTAGTTTGGGGTGGAAGCTTTATGGCTCAGGGTCTGCTGCTTCAGGCGTGATTGGTTTGGGGTTTAGGGTTTAGGGTTGAGGCTTTTGTTTGTCGGGCTCTTTATTTCAGGCTTGGCCAACACCCCTCAACGGCCCTCTAGCAGAGCCGAAGTATCCACCATTTCGGACCATTAAAGCCTCCATCAAACAAGTACTTGGAGGGTTCTGGGAGGCTGAGGCCTCAGCCTCGGGGCTCAGGCTTCGGGGTTGTAGACAGCTTCGGATCTAGGTTTAGGGTTGAGTCTTAGTTGAGTGTTCATACACATCGGCTCTACAATAAACCCTAAACATTAGCCCCGAACCTGGTCTTTTTCAGGAGATGCAGCACAAGCGAGCACTAGCTGAGCAGAACCAGATGCAGGCCTTTCCTACAGGAATTCCGCAAGTTCTATACATTGGCTTTAAGATGGTGTTATATAACGCTAACCTATTCTCTCTAGGTTATCCTGGATATCACAGGAATCCTGTAAGTTTTGTAATGGCTCAGGAAAGCTTTGTGATGGTTTGATAGATAGAGCGTTTCAACTCGGGTTTAGAACGGAGTCTATGCGAGTTTGTGGTTTCGGGTTTGATCGTTTGGAGCCGAAGTCTGTTTCTCAATGTCACATTCTCGGGCCCGGCTTCCGGGCTCGCTTCGGATCGACAACAAACCCAAGACCCGCAAAGCCCAAGCCCGCAACTCCAGATCCTGAATATGCGGCTATGGACGGATGGCTACGGATGGTTGCCGGTGGGGGCATGCGGGTAGGCACTTGGCTACTTTTCCTCAGAATGATGGCAAGAGAGCTTCGTGAGAGCTAGCACTGCTTTTGCTGCAAAGTGGCATTTTGACGATTTTGACGTTTGCTGCGTGACGACAGCCGATGAAAGCTGCCAAATGCGATGGAACAAGAATATACAAGGATGCTATGCTCTTTGAGCACTTCTTTGAGACGTAGGGAAGTGGTGTGTGAAACTCCATACTGTTACAAACAAGTGGTTGGAAGTTGACCTGCTGGTTCTTGAATGCACAGTGCTGCAGCTAGCAAGATAAACAGACACAGAAAGACATCTGTTTATATGTTTATATGCAGATATACAAACATCCATATATACCTACTTGCCTACATACATACATACATACATACATACCTACTTACATACATATTTGTACCAACCTTTATTTGAACATACATATACATATATATATATATATATATATATGTGTGTATATATATATGCATATAAAGCAAGCAGAAATGACGATGCGAAGGCGGGGGGCGGAGGCGCGCCGCAGGCCCTGATCGCGGCAGAGGTGCCGATTAGACAGCTTCCCCAGTTGAGCTATGGGTTGGGGGTTTGCGTGCCTCAACCTGAATTGAAATGACCCTTCAGTATGTAAGTGTACTATAGTGCCCGAACAATCCCAGTAAAAGCAATGTTCCATGTCGTCCCTATTAAGTAGAAATATGGGATAACGGACATTTCGATTGAATCTTCTGTACACGATGACCTGCAGAACACGTTTGTGGGTATCTAGCGCCCCTACCAGCTTGCTCTTTTCGAAAACTCATAGATTTAAACAACACACTAACCTAGGAGACGTTCATACTGAGGGCCCCATACTAGCTTCCTCTACTCGAAAACTCATAATTGGATGCACCACACTAACCTAAGGCGTTCCTGGAGGATATAGCGCTTGCAGCGTATATCCGTTGTTGTTTTGTCCCCTTGTTTCATACGGGTAGTGTGCTACAACGAGGGTAGGTGTTCTGAGGTCCGGGTTTGGGGCTACTTTGAGCGTGCAGGTTGTAGTGACATTCCAAGAGGGGGACCCAACCCAAACCTCGCCCAAGCACCTTAGTCTGAGCCCTGCAGGAACTTGCAACTCCAAAGCAACGGGACCTCAACTCATACCTAAGGCCTGCAAATCCCCAATCCCGCAATTCAAAGCCCTACGTCTAAACCTAGTTCGAAATCTCTGCTTAAAGCTCTAGTTAAACCCTAGCCGTCTACCAAACCCGGGAAGAAGCCGCTTGGCCCTAAACCGCAGAAGCCATCCACTTGAATCGCGAGTTCAATCCTTGACCTCTAAGCCTGCTGTTGAAATCCCCAGCCCAGCCTTATAGAATCTATAAACGTAGGGCCCTGAATCATTGGTAGGGTTGTTTATTCCTTAGTTCCCGAACAGAAATTCAGTATCGTATTGCTTGGCCCAAATCGATTCACGAGGCCTCCTCATCAAGCCTTCTGTTCCAGCCGTGGCTAAGCCTGTAACTGTGCTGAAGCCCCCTGTTCAAGCACAAAGCTTCCCGAAAGCATCCAAGCCTCCTGTAACAGCCATAATTACATCACGGTGCATGGTTAGACTCTAGTTGGGATTTATGGTCAAGTTAGGGCTTATGGAGTCTAGATTTTAGGTTCTTTGGGGTTTTCTTGCGGTTGAACGAATCGAAACCCGTGGAAGGCCGCGGCCAGGATTGCCCCAAGCTCTCCGGCTGCGGCGGCTGCCAAGGCTGCGGGTTTAGGGTTTTAGGGGATCAGGGGTTTAGGGCTTAGGGTTTAGATTTTCGAGGGTTAGGGTTTTAGGGTTTTAGCGGGTAGGGTTTAGGGTTTGAGGGATTAGGGTTTGGGGTTTGAGGGGTAATTAAGGGTTTTAGAGTTTAGGGCTGCGGGGATCTCTGAGATGCTTTTTTGTTTCTGCTCCCCGGGAGTTTTGTACAGTTCTCTTCGTAGAGTTGGTTTGCGCCTCAATTTAGGGGTATTGGTTTTGGGGTGTAGGGTTTACAGTGTAGGCTCGAGCCTTAAAGACACCCTAAACCCTAAACCCTAAACCCTGACATTTTTGGAGCTCGGAGCCCCGAGGCGAGTTCTACAAAACCAGCAGCGGCGGCAACGCCTCGTGCGGAAGAGCTGCGAAAGAAGCCCTCAGGCAGGTTTGGGGGTGGCTTCTAAACCAGGGATATTCGGGTGTAGGGGCGTAGGGTTTAGGATTTAGGGTTCAGAGTTTTGGAAGATCTTTGTGGGGGTCTGTGCAATGGATAGCTCCATCTTTTGTTGTGCAACGGGTGCAGTGCATTCGGGACTATATTGCAGCAGTGACAACTTGGGATCCAAAGGCAAGCCGGCAAGCCTGCTCTGAAAGAGAGCCTCCGTTTAATTTGTTAACAACTAATGTACACCCGAAACTCTAAACCTTAAATGAACCCTAAATCAGAAGATGTCGAAGCTTGGCTTCAGATTGTTGTCTTATTCCAGGGTTGGTTTGTGCATGTGATAATGATTCATGTTGGATGCTGTCGTCGTGGTCTACATCTTGATCTCCTGAGCCCCTAAACCCTGGTGCCTCTAAGCCGTACCATCCTCAAGCCAAAAGGGAGTGCGAAACTTTAAGATAATCACTAGCGGACTGGATAGTTACCAATACTATGCCTCAGTCGACAGTATGATGCTTACATATACCGGGAATGTTTATTCCAGCTACAAAAAGGCCCTATACAACCGTTCTGAAACTCCGGTGTTGCCCTTTTAAAAAGCATAAGACATGGAAGAAACAGTAGTACCCTCTGAGGGCGCCGGCCGAGTTCGGGACCGAGAGTTCCAAGTCCCGCGCCGCAAGTCGAGCCAAAGCCGGCAGAATCCGCCGAGGACTCCGTCTTAGGGTTTAGGCTTCAGGGTTGAGGGTTTAGGGAAGGGGCCGGTAGGGGGCTTGTTGGGTTGTATAGTGGTTTCATACACAGATTGTTGATAGAGTTTGTGTTGATTAGGGTTTGACGGAGCAGCTGCTTCAAAGGATCTTGTATGGTTTTCAGAACAGATCAACTGGAAGGGATCACCTTGTTGCCCGGGGGTTAGGGTTGTAGAGCCCAGGTTTTTGAGGACGCAAGGCTTCGGGACTTTCGGGCTTCTAGGGTGTCATATTATGGGTAGTTGTCAAAATTATGGTCTCTTTTTTGGGCACCCTAAATATTAGGTGCCGTATTATAATAGGGACCCAAAAAGGGACCCTAATTTTGACAACCACCCGTATGATCAGGGATTGCTGGGCCTTGAGTTTAGGCTTCAGGGTGTATCGGTGTTAGGCTTGAGGGATTTGAGATTGACAGCTACGGTTGCTTGGTGGAGCGAAATTTCAGCGGCAGCAGCGCAAGCTGCTGCACGAGGTGCTGGTGTGACAGAAAAAGCAGAAATACTAAACGTGCCTTGGCAGGCACACTGCTGTTGATGCCGTGAGCCCCATGATGGAGGGTGATGAGCCCCGCAACGAGCTTTGATGTCTACCCATGCCAATAGTCAGAAGAGTTGTAATTCTATTCCTCAGGATTCCTTGTATAATTCGCATTATAAAATACTCAACCAGCACATTCTGATAAATTCTACTGTTGTAAGTATTAATTTTTGAAAAAGTATCGAAGCCCATCTTATGACGCCTCTGACTGCACCAAAACGAGAGCAGCCGAAGCCTTGGCTTGCCCCCAACCCCTGATCATTGACGTACCCTGATCCTGGTGGCTTTAGGGTTTATAGGACTTTATGATGAGTGTCAAGGGGATCCTGATGGATTTAGGATTTTGGGGTTTAGGGTTGTAGAAGCACCAGATCTTAAACCCGAAACCCCACAGGCCCTAGGCCCATGGATCAGGGAGCAAAGAAAGGACATGAGCATAAGCAGCATAAGCATTTTATAGGGACATCCCTACCTTATTGGGCTTCATTGTAGGGGGTTTTATATGGAGGAAACCTATCCTTGTTTTTGCTTACGTGCTGTTTTGGGGGCCCTAGATCAAAAGATCTCGAAATGCCTCGGAGGATGCGCTTGCAACCGATGCCGCAGTTGACCCGGAGGTGCTGGGCTGCTGGCAGAATTTAGGGTTTGGGAGTTAAGGTTTTAGGGTTCACGGTTGAGGGTCAATGGTTTAGTATGTTAAGAGGCTTTAGAGGCTGATTTAAAGCGGGCTTAGAGGGCGCTGAAAACATTTGTTGTAGGTCTTTAGTTGGATAACCGGCTGTCGGCTGTTATGGGCTTTGAAAAGGGCCGCGCAGGATGAAAAGGCTGGATATGGGAGTTTCCTAAAATGGGGGACCCTAATATAGTACCCCAAATAGTAGGATCCTTATTATAAGGACCCCCAAATATGGTACCCTAATTTTCGGAATCTCCCATATAGCATCCTCAAGGGCCTTACAGGCGTTGACATAGGGTCGATAACCGTCCGTTCCACAAGGGCTGCATTCGTCACCTGCTTTACGCTTGTTATTTTACAATGGAAAGTAGACGTGTTGTATTGTTGCAGGTGTAGTTGGTGAAGGGAATGCCCTGCCAACGGTTCGTGTGCAAATTTAAGGGCAGGTCGTTGAACAGGCTACCTTCATCCAGTTTTTACAAAGTTATACATTCAGACAGGGTGGAGGGCACGGTTACCCGAACGACGACAAAATGTGTGCGAAGGTCTAGCTTCAGGTGTCTCCTGCAGTTTGCAGCGCTGCAGCAGTGGGCAGAGGTTGTGTCGAAAGAGCATTCTCTACTGGTTGCGGACTTTTGTTTGGTCATCTAGATTACGTTGTAAGGAGTTTGGAAAAGATGAGCGAGCCCCCAAACCCTGCATAAGCCCTAAATCCCAAATCGCTGTGATTGTGACAGGCACCGGCGGCCAGCGAAGAACGCCTCTCGGTTCAGTCAGAAATCGAAATCGACGAGGCGCACTCAGACAATCCGTAAAGGTTAGGAGTTGAGCGTTTAGGCTTACTATTTAGGTTTAGGGTTTAAGTTTAGGGTTCAAGAGTTTAGGGGTTCAGGAGTTCATGGGTTTAGGGCCCGGGTAGGAGGGCTCAGAGCATTCAAGCTTCTCCGGGAACACACAGGTTTGAAGTCTATCTCAGTCTGTTTGCTTGCTGTTGGGGTCTGCTTGACGTAAGAATTTGGAGGGCAGGTTTGCCAGCGCTTTACCTAACCATGCAGGTTAGACCCTATAAAAAGAAGCCTGAACAATTGCCAATACTACTCCTTAGGGTTCCTTTTATGACTATACAAAAAATGTACCCCAAAACCCTCTTCTTGTTAGGAAGGCCCTTGTAGTACAATCTTGAACGTGGGGCGTGCAAGCATGAGGGCCTCTCGTCCGGAGCTTGGGGTCTCGAGCTTGTGGAATGTAGACGAGCTACCTTGAACGCCAACGATCAACGCTTGTAGGGCGTTCCATTCGAAACTAGGGGGCCCTAATATGGTACCTTAAATAGTAGTATCCTTATTATAAGGACCCCAAAGTAGGGTACCCCTAATTTTTGGAAGCTCCCAGATTGAGATTCTAGATTGCATAAACCCGGAACCTTCAGCCCATTCTCACAATGAGCAGTGTCCGGATCACAGACTTAGGCCGACATGTCCCCTTGCAGCTTGGTTCCTATCCACTCAATTACCAAGAACCTCAACAAAAGGCTGGATCCTTCCTTTTTCAGCAGCATATATCGCTGTGTATTGAAATTCCCGATCCCAGTCTCCACTAGTTAGTCTGATATGCTCCCCTTCTTCCCGCAGCCCGGGACCCGTACCTCAATCTACCTTCGCCCACTTGTGGTCCTGGTAATATGAGACCATACAAATGGTTGGGTAATGTAAGGGCTACATAACTTAATCCTGAGGCATGGCCCAAGAAACACTTTAAGCCTATGTACACCGCTTGCTAAACCCTGTTACCCCGCTTTTCTTAATCCGTCCTGCAATCCTATATTTCATTCATAGCACCTCGTGTTGAACCAAAGAATCGCACCCCCTTGACTCCCCACCACTCCCCAGACAGCACCCTAGGCGCAAAATGCTGAGACACAACAACTGAACCGCCCGTCATTGATCTTCCCAGCTGGCACCTGCGGAAGATGCCGCGAGCGATGCAGGCCTACGGCTGTTGAGGTCTCAAAGGTGGTTTTGGCCTGCAGGGTTTCGAGTTTTGGATTGGTGCCTCGGCACGAGAGGTCTAAGGCGAAATTGTGGTTTTGTCGGGTGTGTTTTTGTTATTCGGGTCTTTGGGTGTTTAGGGATCAGGGTATGGGTTGGTACCAGGGCAATTTCAGATTAAAGCTATCCAGCTTCTGATGAATCGGGGTATAGGACCGAAAGGGTCTGGATCCCTGCGCACCCTAAACCCGACATTGCATCCTAAACGAACGCATAGCGAAGGACCTTGAGCAAAAACAACAACTTTGTTTTAGAGAGTTGCCTGGCCGTTGGCACGAAACCCTAAACCCTGCACCCTAAAACTCCTAACTACCAAAAGAGAATGACCTCTCTGCAGGGGGTCCACTAAACCCTAAACCCGAAAAGTGTGGAGCCCCGGGCTGGCAGGTTCCAGGGACCCGGGGCCTCCTGGCGAGCCCAGGAAGGGGCGAGTGCGCGATTTAAGGCTGCAGATGTAGAAAGGGGACGTAACCTCAAGCCTTAATGATTAGAAGAGGGCTTCGGGTTATACCATACTTATAATGAGGAACTGCCCCAACAAAACCCTAATCGCGATCTACTTGACATCAAAAGTGCATGTATAGCTCAACTACCACTTGACGAGTGGTGTATACTTACACTTGACGAAATCGAGCTAGATTGCCACCTGGACCTGGACCACGATTGCTTTTCAAAGCTGCGCTGAGAAGACTTTCGCGCTTCCAGGCCGCAGTTGAATAATCCAAGCAGCCGCAACTTCTTGAAAACCCGAGGCGTGCCCACTTGATTAAACCTTGCTGGGCTAATGATGAACAGTGCGTTCACTGTCGCAAAAGGCTTCACTTTTCCACTGTTCCGGCTAATCTGAGCCGACCGTGTCCAGCTGCCACTGAGATTCCTCTTGAACTACTTGACTCGTGGCATTCCGACTTCGATTCGCTGATTAAAGTTACCACGGATACTATTTCTAAAAGCTGAACTCCAACACGGACGCGGCTTAACACTTACTGATGAGGCACAAGCCCACTAGTTTCGTTCGTCCGCACCGACTTCTTGTCCGATCACGCCCCGCAAACCTATTCTAAACTTTTAGGGTTTAGGGTTTAGGGTACAGTCTCAGCGCCGCAAGACCAACTGCGACGTGTTTCGGCAGGTGGGTCCTTAGGGTTTAGAAAACCCTGGACTGTATAGTTTATACCCTAAGCCCTTAGCCCGTTATGAACCCCGAACGCTGAGCTTCAAAATCCGAAGCTTTAAACCCTCGAAGCTGAGCTTCGAAGCCAAAACCCTAAGCCTTTAGCCCTGAACTTCCCGAAAGGTGGCCAGGCTACCGTTGTCCGGATGCCCAGAAATGGCTCGAGGGCCGAACCGAGTTTACGATTGACGTGGTGATAACGAAAAAATGAATAGAGATAACAATGCTAATATTTCATGATGATGACACTAACAACAGTAATAAAGAACAAACCCATAGGTTACTGTATACCTTAGCGCGCTGGGTGTTTGGGAGGACCTAACTCCAAAGACATATCTACAGACATGTGTAGGATTTAGGGTTTTTTTGGGAGGACCTTGATCTAGAGAGATGTTTGGGGTTTGGAGTTTTGGTGACCTAAATGTAAAGAAAGGTTGTGAGGTTTTGGATTTTTGGGAGGACCTAAAGCTGTTTTGGGGGGGATCAAACTCTGAATCTAAAAGTTTAATCAGGGGTGGCCAGCTAAGATTGTCGGAGCCTTCATTATCGTGAGGATGCGTTTTCTAAGGCCCCATTTGCGGTTTCGCGAAGTACCCCAAACCCTAAAGCGCACAAGTAGACCGTTACGAAGTTCCCCGAGCCTCCGACCATGGCTTCATGTGCAGTTCTTAAGCCATTTACGAATACAGTAAACTTCATAAAATTGGAAACCGGATGAAGGCCAAATAGTGCTGGGATTCCCTATACATTACTCTTGAGGATTGAGGCTATTGGATATCCAACTTTTTGGCTTGTACTGTAAGTGGTTTCGGACCAGAGGGCCCAGGGGCTCACTCTTTCCGGGAGGGCGGTAGATGTAGACGGCTCCCTGAAGAAAGCCCGGGTAAACTTAATTACCTGCAACACACGACGGGAGAACAAAGCAAAGTTTGGAGTCAGAGCTTTGTTCATGGCGCCGGGGGCTACTATCTCCATCGAACAGAATGTTCTTAGACTTGCCTTCGGCGCGACTTCTTGGAGCGATGACGTATTCTGTGTGCAGACACGAGATTCCGGTCGACGGGACGACCATGGATGCAATGCTGGATCTTATTATCTGTCTTCCCTATGAGCGAATTCATTTCTGTAGGTCCCCGTGCCGGGCATCAGGCTACCGCACCAACTACCAGCTAGAGTCGTATCCCGAATCTCTCCACCGTATCGAAATCCTAAACTTCACCCACTCTAAAAGATTAGCTCTAAATCCGAAAGCCTAACCACCTACAACCATGATCATCAAGCATGAAACCTTAAGCCCTAAACCCCTAAGCCGTTTACTCTAAGCCATAGACTCTGCGTACAGTCGGTCCACATGCTCCGTCTCCGTGGCTACGCATGGGTAGCACGGCAGAATAGCTTTAAACTCTGCAGCTGTGTCAAACACAACCCTAAACCCAGCGCCCCAAACCCTAAACGGTGTCATGCAAGAAACTCTCAACCCAAGGCTCTAACCCCAATGAAAGGACGTGCACTCGCTGGCGGAAGAGACCGTCGAGAAGACTCAAGAGACCGAGAGGCTCAAATTGCAGGGCCTCGGGTTTAGGGTTCAGGGCTTCGGGTTTACAGCTGAGGGTTTTTCGGGTTTAAGGTTCAGGGCTTCGGGTTTAGAGTCTATAGAGCCTAGGATAGCCTAGGGTTTTTAGGTTTCCAGGGGTTGAGGGTTCGCGGGTTTGAAGCTTAGGGCTTGGGATTTAGGGTTTAGGGCATCGGGTTTTGGGGTTGAGTCGGTCGAGGTGTAGGATTTCGGGTGTGTAGGGTTGAGCTGGTGAGGGGGGGGAGGGGGCTGCAGGATGTTCACGCATAGGCGGTTGAAGGACACCGGAATAAATTATGGGGCTACCAGGGTTGAGGGTCTCCGCTGCCGCTCAGACCCTGCGATCAGCCTCTTCGGCTCAAAGCGCTTGCATATTCGCCCGACGCCGTGGCTGACCCTTGCGGCGTGCCAGGACATTAGGTTTCACGTTGGGTCCCACATGCCTGACCTGTTTTGATGATTATCCTCATGACTAATGTTATGACTCGTATGCTTATCTTTAGTTGATATGAGCTCTCTTATTGTTATTGTTGATATTCCTCATATTCGTGTTACTATTATGTTTCTTCTTTTTGGCATTGTGATCTTTGTCATCTGTATTAGTACTGATCTTGTGATCATTGTTCCTATTTTTATAAGTTGCATTATGACCATTACTGGTACCATTACTAATACCATTACTGATACCATTGCAATACCATTACTACCACTATTGCTGTTGTATGTATTGTTATAAGTGTACTTTCTGGTGAGATTGTTATCATTGTTATCATTGTTAAGATGACGTTTCTTATAGTTGCTCTTGTTTTTGTTATTCGTCTCATCATCCTTGAGTTTATGGTTCTTCTCTTTCTTGTTATCATCATTATGCGTCATTAAGTGCCAGTGATGTTGCTACTGTTATAGTCTTCTTCTTCTCATCATTATTAAGCCTCCCCCTACAGAGGCTGCTTGGCCTTTGCATGTTGTGCTGCTGACGATGATGTTGGGGGTGTGGGTTGCACAGTCTAACCCAACGTCTTGGAGACGCTTGAGTCCCACCCCGAAGCACTTGAAGCTCAAAGCCGGCACCCAAAGCTATCAGGGCGGTCGTCAAAATTCGGGTTTCTCTTTGGGTACCCTAAATATGAGGTGCCGTATTATAATAAGGACCCAAAAAGGGACCCTAGTTTTGACATCCACCCATCAAGCTGAACTCCAAAAAATGACAACCCAGAGCACAAGGAGCCTTGCCTTCTCTGCACAAACCCGAACCCCCATGCAAACCCTCGGTTATACTGTCGAACGCAGGACGCGGGCATGGCTTTTCGCATCGCGGCGTGCTGGCTCCTGCTTCTCGACCGTAAGAAGTATCTGGAATAGTGTAAGGGCCTAAAGAATTACCAATACTGTTTTGGGGGGTCCTTATTAGATTTATAGTATGATTGTTTCCAAAACGCTGTTCAAATTGTTGAGGCTCCTATATCAGTCCGTCTGTAGGGACCACAGTGCCGGGAATGTGTCGGCTGCAACTCATTGCTCCAATGTGGCCAAACACATGGCCGCGTCATCCATCATCGTACTCTGAGGCTTACTTCCTCTATAGACTCTATAGAAGCCTAGGTCGGATGGCTTTAGGGGCTCGGGGGCTTTATCTCGGGTTTCAGGAACTCAGAGTGTTTGGGTTCAGGGTTTTAGGAGATTGGGTTTAGAGTTGGTGGGAGGACGCAGAAGGCGCCCTTTCTGGTGCTTCCAACCACCAACAGTGTTTCATTCGAAGTTTTGGGCATATCTCCGAAACTTTAGTTTGGGGTATGCAGATTGTGCAATCCAGCGTTAGGGTGCTTCTGAGCGAGGGCTACATAGACCTGAAAGCCTGAATGACATCACAACTTTGAGAGTGCACCTGTCTTATGACTTGACCAGACTGTGTACCCCGAACCCCATGAACAGTAATTTGGGGGTTCATATCGCACCCCCAAGCCAAAACATAGGCAAAAGAGATCCCCCCAAGCCCAAGACACCCAAGCCAGGACAGCGCATGTGGTCGCACGGGTAGATGAAGATGGGGCCATTGCCTTGAATCGTGTGGCTCGCAAGCATTCACCGTTGGGGCCTTAAATTTCCCAATGCTGACCCTGGCGTACATTCAAGATACTCCCCAAAACCTTTGCTTTATATCATATACTGAGGCCTGCATAGCGGGCTGGGCTCGATATACTATGGCCCTAAAACCTACACCGGAGTGCTTGAGGTTCAGGTATGTGTGTGTGGGTATCTAGAGTCTAGACGCTAGACCATTCAGTGTTTCAAGGTTTCGTGCCGAGGGATCACGGTAGAAATAATGGCGGGGTCGGGATGATTGCAATAGTATTTTCGTAAATTTCTTTATGCCAGAATGTCACCCACAACCCTAGTCTACTCATTAAGGCCCTGCAAGTAGGGTTGAGTGGCCCTCGAAGCCTTAGACTATCAGAATTAGCCCAGGACTATGGCCCTCAGAACCCTTGTAGAAGCCGTACAGAAACCCTCGTCTAATTCTTAACAACCCTTGTATTGGACCTTAAGTCCCTAGAAGGACGTATGCAAGCCTCGGAACCTGAATAATTATCAAGTACTTGTCCTTAGGGTGCCCTAGTGTAATGACCTTCGAGGAACCCCAGTCTAATTATGCACACCCTTCTTTTTTGTCTTGCTGGGCTCCTTGTTCGTATTTTCTGCCCACGGTCTAAGGCCGCTTAGGGTCTTTAGTTTGGCTTTTACGGTCTGAAGTTGAGAGTCTAGGTTTTTTGGAACATGGAGGGTTTCCTTGGTTTGCTTCCGGCCCGGGGTCTAACAATTAATTTTGTGATGCGTTTAGGGTTTAGGGTTTCGAGGCCCGCACCACCAGGGATTGGTAATTGCACACGCATGACCCCCAGCCCACTGCACGAAACACTGAAGGCTAAGTCATAAGCCCCTAGACACTGAACTCGAAATCATAAACCCTACGCCGCCCCAAATCCCCGAACGCGCCTGTGTAAAGTCTGTTGTTGAAGGACGACTGCACAAAAACTTCCTGTGCCATCGAGCTCATGCAGTGCCTTCGCTTCAAGTTGAGGGATCAAGGCTGCCTCCAAATAGATGCCTGAACCATTAGCGGCCAACCAGTCCTTAAGGGCCCTTGCTATAGTTGTAGCATTCATAATATATTCCCCCCCCCCCCAATTATTTAGGCCGTTACGTTGGCTTACACCTCAGGCATTTAGGATAGCATTATGCTATGTTACACCCCGGAATCATATTTCACCCTACTACCTTGCCCATGATGCCTAAATCCCGCAACACAGCCGTGAAAGCGCGGTCTTTTGCGTGTTGAGCCGGGCACCCCGGATGGTGAAGCCCAGACCCTAAAGCCGTAACTCCCACAGCCGTAGCTCGACTCTACCCACATGGTCAGGTAGCCGTGTAGTGCATACTTCTGATGCCCCACATACCTACTGGAACCTGGTAGGAACCTATGTTATTGGTGCTTGGACTTTTCAAGTACATCCCTAAAACCTTGAATGGCCGAAGATGCCATATCGCGAAGACTTGCAACTCGAAGCCCCGCACCCTCACACTTCACAGAAACTCCGTGCCCCTCCTGAGGTTGACCCCAGTGGCCCCGAACTCTTCATGCCTAACCTCTACACTCGACGCTAAACATCTCCCAGCTCTTCCCTCCGTAACAGCTAGAACTAATTAATATAGGGGCCTTAATAATTACACTATTTTGGGGGTTCCTTATTATACTTATAGTACAATGGGCCCCAAGACCCTGTTCTGATTATTAAGGCCCTGTTTTTAATCAGAAGGCTTTCCGAAATCATGCCTTCTCCTCTCTGACGTAGGCTCTAGCTTGATGGGTGCGGGTCTTCCAGGGGTTAGGATTTTGGATGTAGCGTTTAGGGCCGCGTTAGGGCCAAGGCTTCTGCACTATAGGGTCTATGATGTATAGGGCGTTGTCTGTCATGTCTGCGAGGACCCCCACGCAGCAAGGTGTCCTTCCCATATGATTTAAGGTATACTCCTCAGTTCAGGGGTTTCGGAGCTTCTGCGTAGCCGCCTAACCTTGAGCCGAGAAGCCTTGAAGCAAAAAGTCGCAAGGTTCCGCGGACAGAGAGCATCAGCAGCTCCTGGCAACAGCGGCGATGCAAGTTGCGAGCAATATGTCTCCTCGTCTGAAGTGCCGTTTGTGTGATCACGGTTAAGATGCTTCACGCATTTTTGTTGTCGAAGCTATTGTTTTATGGCAACTCCTGAACCATAAACGCAAAGCAACAAACCCTGAAATCCGGAAGAACCCAAACTACAGAACTCCTTTAGTAGTAGCGTGGCAGTAGCTTTGTAGCTTCGTAGTAGCTTAATGGTAGTCCTAGTCGTCGTCGTAGTCGTAGGGGGAGGAGGAGGAGGAGGAGGAGGAGGAGGAGGAGGAGGAGGAGGAGGAGGAGGAGAGCAGGAGCATCAGTAGGAGCAGCAACATTTGTAGCATGGTAGCAGTCGTCGACGTCGTCGGCACAGTGGCAGTCGCAGCTGATGCCATATTGCAGTATCAGTATGAGGCTCGTCGATTTGAAGCTTGCATTCAATGAGGGACCGACATCTGGCACCCCTCTACTAAATGATTTGAGGCTCCAGGTCAGGATGCGTCATCCACCCGCCTCTCTAGATCTCATGCAACTGCAGGTGAAGTGCGATGCATCCAACAAGTACCAGGGTCATCCCTGCGAGAAAGGCTACTACTGCGAGCGATTGGGCCTGGGCGCCCCTGCGAGACCTCGATGTTTACATTGGGTGAACTGTGCTCGCTCCTGCTACTGTGCCCGAAGGGCCAAGCTGCTGGAGGAGAGCAACGATGTCATTCCCGAGGTCCTTTTTCAAGATGAAGATATCGAGTTAGACACTGAGACATGGAATATGGATGGTCTTCAATAGACAAGCTGGCCATTGCTGCTTCTCGGCAACCCTGAACTGGCTTTGCTGGATCTGTTTCTTCCAGTATTGCGGCAGAGAGTCTGGAACAAGAAGATAGTAATATGGGGGCCGAAGTAAGTACCAATACTATTTGGGGGTTCCTTATTTTAACTACAGTATAATGGGCCCCAAAACCCTATCCTATTCTAATCATTAAGGCCCCTATATTACAGGCAAGACGGCTGTCAACTGCCGCACCGGCGACTTCTCAGAACGGAGCCATCAGTTATCCGAGCAAATCCGAAAGCCTTCACATGGTCCGCATTTTCCTGGGTGAAGACTCAATGAAGATTGCAAAAAACGAGCAGACAGATTTCAGGCGATTGGTATTGCGTGAGAAAGGAGCCTTAATGCTTAGAATAGGGCTTCAAGGTGACATCATGGCATGATTATATTCAAGAACTTCAAAGGGGTGGTTTTCCTTGTGACCCCGATCCCCATGTGTCATTTGCCTTCGTCGCGTTTGACTTCGTTAGGTCAGGTCATGTACTTGACTACGGCTATTACGTATGATTGCTATCATTATTAAGAGATTCGTACTTGAGTTCTATAGCATATACGAACAATAACTATCATTACTATTTGTATTATTGCATATTTTTGAGTATTGGTGGTGTTATGGTTACTGCTACTTTCCTGCTATTGCTACATTCTTATGGTTATCATCATGAGTGGGGGTTTCGGACGGAGGGCTTCTGCGATCTGTCGTTCTCTAAGCTTTGATCTCCTCTGGGTGTCCCGAATGTCTTCACTTCACACCTTTTTGGGATAATGTTATCAAGTTATCCTTTATAGAACTGAAAGTTTACACTCCTGGAGGGGAGGGCTCATGAAGTCAACAACTCAAGGGTTGTGAGAGTGACGTGCTCTGTCGGAGACCCTGAAATGCCTTAACCCTTTAAAAGCCCCACTCCCTAAAACCGCAAGACCTCCTAAATTCCTAAAGCCAACAAGGCCTCCAATTGGGGGAGACACCCACATCCTTTCAAGCTCGAAACTTCGAAACTGACTCACCGAGCTCAGGCAAATTTAGGGTTTAGGGTTTAGTTGGGATCGGGCTTTGGGTATGTGATCCTGACGATACTGCAAGGAGCCTTCAGCAGTCCTAAACCCTAAGCCTAAACTGCGCCAGGCTCACGGCCAAGTGTCACAAGGCCGAGGAGATGCTAAAGGCGAGGGTGTCGGGCTAATTGTTGGTTATTCTAGTCCCTAAGAACCAGCGAAAATATAAGTTTTGCTAGGGTTCTAAGTTCAGCATAGGTTTAGGGTTTAGGGGGAGTTTTGTCGCAGCGAAGAAGCGAGGGCTCAGTGCTGCGATTTCCATAGTCATAAGTGTTGTTAGGTAGGCTGTTGTAAGAACTGATTACTTATTGTGGTTCTCTCACCGGGATGATGTCTGTTCTATTCCAGAATATAAGGCTTTTTATTTTGCGGTACCTGGCGCTATATCCCAGGTGACATGAAACACACGATGACGAAACCGAAGCTAGAGAAGCCCTCCTTTCTTTCTGGGGGGGAGGTTTGGCTTCGGAGTGCTGGTGGTATGATGTACAGCAAGCTGTCATGTTGCTCCTGCCGATCTCCCAAGCCCGACCCATCGCCTCCTAGGTCTTACTTAGTCTCCTAAGTCGTGGTAGTAGTCTACTATTCGAGTACTTGGAGCCCTCGGACGATCTTAGAATTTAGGCAGAATGCTACTGGAACTACCCTTGCTGATACTGAGCAAACTCCCCAAATCAAAGGTCCAAATGCCACGGCTTTCCGGTCTTGAGATGTTCTGTCATAACATGTCATGACACGGTACATCGCATGAAGGGAACCCCATAAGAAGTCGGGCTCCGGACGCTTACAGGCACCACCCATACATAAACATGCGTAACAATACACACCCAAGCACACACGTACATCTAAGGAACAAGCCGCATACACGGAAGATTGCTCTATTGCGAGCCCCTCAGACGTCCCACATGCCCGAAACCCTAAACCGGAGGAATCTGACATTTTCTATGTTGGTGTAATATACCCGCCAAACCCTACTATGATTCTCATTGCCCCACGAACAGGTGCGGCAACAGAGCGAAGAGGCCGACAAGGACTTCCTGAGGGTTAACGGTGTTACTACAGTGATAGAAGAGACTATAATGTTTAGGATTAAGGGGTTTAGGATTTAGGGTATTGCGACAGTGATACTGCAGACTATGAACGTGCAAAAGTAGGAACTTCCAGCCTACAAGCCTTGTAACCTACGCTTTGAATCCTAGCTGCTCCGGTTCTGAACCTGCAGCACAAATCCGTGACAGCAAATCCGCCGGATCCTACACAGTAAATCACTAGCCCCGACATCCCAAGTCCTTGAACCCTCGATCCAAATCTATGCATGCAATCCCAAGCCCTGCAACGTGCACCACAAATGCGGCCCTGGTCTTGATGTCTAGCTATTGTACCTGCGGAATAAGCGGCAAGCCTCAATCATGGCCGAAAGGGTGGATTCAGGTCGGGCCATAAGTAGCCACAGAGCCAATATCCAGCGGTGAAGTCGAGCACAGAAGAGCATGGGTGCTTCAAGATTTTGGGCTTCAGGGGTTGGGGGTTTTAGGTTCAAATGAATTGAGGTTGAGCATGTACGGTTTAGGGTTTAGGGATTGAGTTACCAGTGCGTCGGGGTTGGGGATTGTAGGGTTAAAATTAGACGAGGTTGAGCAAGCATTTAGTTGGTATGTGTCGACAGCGCATCATACCATCGTGATCCTTGCTTTGTGTACGGAATCCCAAGTTTTGAGGGGGGTTCTTGGAATGTTGGATACTTTGTTGAAATGGTGTGGATGTATATATATATATATATATATATGTGTACCTTCATTCATATACACACATACATATATACACAGGCAAACACAAAACTGACTTTATTACATATTCAATAGGTCAAGAGCCTGAGTTTGCCCGGGAAAGGTTTACATACGCCAACCCTGGCGTCAATCCTTCAACGGTTCAGGACATCCGAAGCACGCATACAAGTGTATGTATTTCAACATATACACATAAATGTAGCGACGCAGCGAGAGGGGGTTACACGATTTTTGGAGTTGGGGTTTCAGGTTGGGTTCTGTACCCATGGGATCCACTGTAGTTCCTTTTTGGGATTACGTACCTCAAATGATCCTAAATATGAACCTCAAGAAGTAAGTACTATGGAGCCTCTAGGTAGGACGAGGATACTGTTCCCCTTGACTGGCGAAGTCCCTTGTCTCGCGGCTTCATGTGTGTCTAACAGATGACCCCGCCACCGTTTAGTGTTTAGGGTTAGGGTTTAGCGTTTAGGGTTTCCGGAACCAGGAACCCTAAGCACTAGCACGCAACCCTAAACCCAATGAGCCTTACACAAGCCACCAGCAGAAAGATCCCCGGCTTTCCAGGAAATTGAAAAACTCCAGAAGGAGATCGAGAAGGCGGAACCGAACCCTAGGGTTGGTTTAGGGTAATTACCATAAACCATGTAATATAGGGGCCTAAGTAGTTGCCAATACGATTTTGGGGGGTTCCTTCTTACAATTCTAGTATCCTATACCCCAAAGCCTTCTTCTAATTGTTAGGTTCCTTATAGAAGGCAAGGGCTCCCTTCTCTGTAGGATTCTTGAATGGACCCGAAGTGAACAGTTGCCACGGCCTGACATCGATAAGTCGGAGGGACCCTTAGGGGGGCCTTGGGGGGAGGGGTTACTAAGTCCTTACTATAGGTATTAAGGCCTCCTACCTCCCTCCCCCCGGCATACCCGGACCCTGTAGAACCTACTGTTTCAGGGATTCCATGGTATGATTTCCGTTTCTAGGTCCTTGAGAAGGTGGGGTATTTGGGGCTTAGGTCATGGTTAGGGGTTTCGGTCTGAGATATGGGAGTTTCCGAAAATAGGGGAACCTAACTAATATGGTACCCTAAATAGTAGGATCCTTATTATAAGGACCCCAAAATATGGTACCCCTATTTTCGGAAACTCTAAACCCTAAACCCTTTATAGAACCCTTATAGATCCCTTTAAGGAACCCTTTAAAGCACCCTAGGGTAACCCCTATTTTCGGAAACTCCCATATGGGAAAAGAGCGAAGCGATTTTCCGGGGGAGCCCTTGAGCCCGAAGCTGCAGGTGAAGTCGATGCTGCTTGGCAGACGAAGGGTCCGGTTAAGGGTTTCGGGTGTGTTTAGGGTTTAGGGTTCAGTTAGAGCATTGGGGGTTGACCTGGAAGGTTTGTGTTAGGGTTTAAAGGGAATTCCAGAAAGTTGGAATATGGATTAATGGTAGGATCCCCTATAATTTACCTTAAAGGGGTTACGAGAATGATATTCCAACTTTCTGGCTTCTACTGTAGGGTGTGTTTATTGACCTGGAAGGTTTGTGTTAGGGTTCAGTGTTTGGGCAGCTTCCTGGGTGAATTTGTTTGCAGTAGACAGCAACAAGTTGGAACTGGGAGGAAGCATGATAAGTGCTGATAATAATACGGCCTACAACATGTTTTGGAGCACGGATAATTAGTTGCCACTTTTACGGCAGTTGTTGTAAGGTCTCTGGGTTCATGATCCGTTGCCCGGGAGAGCTGTAAGACCTCTTGCTTGCAAAAGGTGAGCTGGGAAACAACAAGCCACGAGCATAGCTGGTGGGCGTAACCGGCAGAGAATGGGAACCATCGCGCTTGGATGTCCTAACCTTTAAACCCCTAAACCTTACATGCCAAAACCCCAAAAGCCCAAACCCCTAATCCTTGCGTTCCACCCAAAAGCCCTCGCGGCCCAGTGATTCTTCCAGATCAAACCGGCGAGCCCGTGGTGCCCAAAGTGTGATCTTGACTCAGGGAGTGAATTCTAGAGCATTAAACCCCTGCACCCCTAAGCCCGAAACAACAGACGATATTTGTTGATGGTGTTTGCTCTGGGATCCGGAAGATGTTGGAAGTACCAGCCATGCCGCGCGCAAGAAACTTCCGTCAGGGATTGCGCTGTACAGGGACGGGGGGGAATCATTCCTTATTAGTTTACGATGTTGATCTTAAACTACATCCCTGAGCTTCAAATCCCGAGCTGCCCAAACACAACAAGCCTACAACGCATCTTGCAAGCTCTGCTTAAGTGGTTGTTGGACGTATAGTTCGGTTTCGCAGCAATCTGGATGCAGGTTTCTAACGCAGAATTCCATGCTTCACTGCCTTACATGGCACATAGCCTGCTTGCTAGGGGCGGTGTTCTTGCAAGTAGGCCCCATCAACGCTCTGCTGGTAGCCCGAAGCCCTACCTTTTGTTGCAGATACATGGTACCAGTTCCCACTCACCTCAAACCGCAGAATACCAACCACTACAGAAGAGTAGTTTGCGACCCCTTCGTTATGAAGTGCGCTTCGCCCAGGTGCTGCAAACACTAGTAGGAGCCTGTAATTCGAATTTACAAGCTATAGCACCGCAAGAAGTAGATTCTCAGAGCAGGTGAGTCCCAATCCTAGGTTGCAGTTGCAGCAGAAAGCTGAACAAGAGGCTGTCCAAGGACTGGGAAATCCTGTGGTTGAGGGTTCCCGGAAGAGGAAGGGATTCCCATAGACAGAGTTTTTGTATAGTCATACCGAGCATCTTCCCAGAACGCTATACTAGGATTGTTCAAGGCTCCATATTCAACAGGTCTCACTCAAGTCGAGAACCAACTTCAGAGGGGGGCCAGGTGCGCAGTAGGGTTTAGAGTCTAGGGTTTACAAAAACCATTCAACACAAAGTTGTCGTGACCCAGCACCATTCCATTTGGGTACTCGGACCCTTTGTTGGGACATGTTTGGTGTATAGTCCCCCGACAAGAGGAGTTGTAGTCGATCAGGACATCATCTAAGATAGGTGTAGGCTTTAACTTTAAACCCCCCAAACCAGGTACATAGTCAAGAGTATAGATCTATATGTACATGTAGATGGTTCCCGTTTTGCCCGCTATGAATGTATGTACAGTACGAGAACCACTTCGTATATGCAGATGTGTATGTATATAGTTTGTCAATCCTAAACCCAGCTTTCAAGTTGAGATAAGAATGTTGTTGTTCACTGTCAGCCAATGTTCTGAGAAACCCCAGCCCCAAAACAACTTTTGTGTTGAGCCTCAGTCAGATCTTAGGATTTGCTGATTTAGCAGCTTCCGAAATTAGGGGGTGCCTTATGTTGGCGTCCGTATAACAAGGATCGTTCTTTTTGGGGGTGCTACATTAGGGTCCCCTGTCCCTGTTTTCGGAAGCCACCATTTGTGAGTGTTCTGTCGTCTTCCGTAAAGGAGCACTCCTTCGTCCGTTAGTTCTTTTTCATTTGGGGTTTAGGGTGCTGGGTGGCCTGGCTCCAAGACTGATTCCAAGCTGCCAACTCTGGCCATCTCCTCCCAAAGCTTTCCAAATTCAGCTCTATACACCAGACAGAAGTCTCCCAATGTGTTCGGACTAAGTTGTTGCGCGACTTGAACCCCTATATATACATCCCGAAACTACACTGTGGGCTTAGGCGCTTATCTTTACGGGCTTCCAGTACAGCCCAGTTTGCTCGAACGACGCTTCAATGTTGAATGCAGATCAGACTCACCTTCTTTAGGGCCGGTTTCAGAAAGAGAGAGGGAGGCAGAGAGAGAGAGAGAGAGAGACAAAGAGAGAGCGAGAGAGACAGAACGACAGAAGGAGAGTGAGAGAGAGAGGATCTGTAATTTTAAGGCCAGTGTTGAGTGATTCGCCATGTTGGGCAAAGTTCGCTTTGTGTGTTGCGGCTCTGTCTCAGGTAGATATCGAAAAAATCTTAAGGTGAAATCGACTGGAACATAGGATCTCCACGACCTTCGTCGTACGCCGCTAGAGCTGGACACCGTCGAATAAATGCATCACGTGGCAAGATGCACTGCTTGACATCCCGAGCTTATATAATCTGAAAGTATAGGTCCAATGCCCTAGTGTTCTCACTAGACATCGTCAGGAGTGTGCGCGCGCGCGTGTGTGTGTGTGTGTGTGTGGGTGTGTGGGTGTGTGTGTGTGTGGGGGTGTGTGGGGGTGTGTGGGGGTGTGTGGGGGTGTGTGGGGGTGTGTGGGGGGGTGTGGGGGTGTGGGGGTGTGGGGGTGTGGGGGTGTGGGGGTGTGTGGGCGTGTGGGCGTGTGGGTGTGTGGGTGTGTGCGGGTGTGCGGGTGTGCGGGTGTGCGGGTGTGCGGGTGTGCGGGTGTGCGGGTGTGCGGGTGTGCGGGTGTGCGGGTGTGCGGGTGTGGGTGTGTGGGTGGGTGTGTGTGTGTGTGTGTGTGTGTGTGTGTGTGTGTGTACGTGCGGGTGTGCGGGTGTGTGTGTGTGCGTGTGTGTGTACAGCACCCGAGGCAACACCGCTTCGGATGCTGGAAATCAGATATGGAATCGTGCCGAACTATAGTTGTAGCTGTAGTAGCAGTAGCAGTAGTAGCAGCAGTAGTGGTTGCAGCAGCAGGAGGAAGAGTAGGAGTAGTAGTAGTTGTAGTAGTAGTCGTCGTCGTAGTAGTAGTAGTGGCTGAGGCTTTAGGCCTTGGTAAGGTTTGGAGGAGGTTCAGGCATTATGCAGGTGTAGGATGCAGGGATTCTATCATGTTTTTTTGGAGGCGGGGCGAGGTAGAGGGAAGTAGCTCAGCAGCGGGAAGTGAACTCACGCTGCAGGAGCCACGAAAACAAATTCCACAGACATCGAGGCACCATTTCGCGGGGCTGCAGGTTGTGTGTTGACATAGACCATCGGCCACTAGTCACTAGTAGTCATCGTGTCATATTATACCCCCTCATAATCCAGACAATGTTGTAATCGCCAAGATCTCTACTGTGGCTGCATGTTGCTATTAGCCTCTCTTTCTGGTGAGTAGCAAGTGACGCTAGCGATGGCAGCTCCGGTGAGTGCTATGATCCTTGAACCCCGCTTCTAGCTTGAAGCTTTCTCGAGGCTTCCCGCTTCTCTTTTCGTTTTGTTCATGTCGTTGCCGATGTGTGTCGGACGTGGTGATGACAAAAATAGGTAAGTAATGCCCAAAATGCCGCTATGACAGAAAAGACTTTGTTGCACTAAATCCTGAAACTACCTCCATGTGGTCTGCACCCAGCATCCATGACATACATAACGCTAAACCCCGTACCCTCAAGAAAGGAAAAACCCTAAACCCTAAGCCCTCATAATTCAATCAAAGCAGGCCCCAACCATCGGCTCCTCCTAGTACAGGAATTCTAACTGTTCTGCAGTTCGAAACGGGCCCATAAACAAACTAAAACTCATAACCAGACCCGGGACCCATGAACTTCTAAATGCGGCTCGGTGGTTACCTCACGGCCGTTCCTGCAGGCAGGCGATGGCTGACTCGAATTAGTGCACTATCAATATGATTCCTTGGGTTTCCTTGTTATATTTCTAACATTATACCCTTAAACCCTGTCCTAAGTATTAAGGCCCTATGTTTTAAACTGCTAACTGGAGGCTGTTTAATAGCCAAGTGTCTCGCTTCGGACAGCCCGCGTGACCATTTTTAAATCCTTGTAGAAAGCCCTAAATCGCAGATCTCGGTGACACGGCCCCTGGACGACGCGAGTGCAGAAATGACATCTATGGATTCGCCAGGCGAGGGGGGGCCCTGAGGTTGAAGTGCTGGGGAGGGAACCCTACCAGATGCTTTGTATGTTTAGGGTAGAGTTCAGGGCTCTTAAACCAGGGTTTGTACTATGACCGCACGACAAGAAGAATGATAAGCTAAGGTACGTGCAATGCACGGGGTTGGCTCTGGAAGGTTTCTGAGATATGCTGGGACTTAGACGGTTGGCGATTTGGGACTTAGGATGCAGCGTTGTTGGTTTTTGGACTGGTAGCGGCTTTGTGTGACTTTTGGAGCAGGGGAGGCTTGGATCTGGAAACCGGGCAGTGTTCACTCTTCTGTTTTGGGTGTACATGCAAGTGCACGTACGTGTATCTACACATGTGAATGGTCGGAAGTTTGAATCATTCAACCATTCAACTACGTACATGTGCATGCCTCGCGATGAGGATTTCGCGTCATTGCAGCCTTCTGTCTAACAGTCACTGCTTCTGCGCCTCCTCATCCTCTCCGAGTACTGCTGCTAATAATACTGCTGCTGCTACTGCTACTGCTACTGCTACTGCTACTAGTACCAGTACCAGTACTAGGGCCAGTACCAGTACTGGTACTACTTTCATTATTACTCCTCCTCCTCCTCCTCCTCCTCCTCCTCCTCCTGCTGCTGCTGCTGCTGCTGCTGCTGCGACGACACAAACATTAACAATACCGCCGCTACCCTTTACTCATCCTGCTCCTGCTGCTACGGTTGCTGCTGCAGTGCTTACTTCTGGCTCTATTCGTCGCCGTTGCATTCGTAACACACACTGTCATCATCAAAGACGCAAGGTTAATAGTGTGCATTGAGCGAGCACAGTTGGTGCATTTTCCTGGATTGTGGCGCTCTTTTTGCTGCCATCCTGTAAGATGTTTGTTATAGTGACAGGTTTTTATCTAATTATTGATCTGCGCAGAGATCCGAAAGGTTCGCCCGATGCAACGGCAACGACGCCACAGCGTCAGGTCTCCGTCGAAGAAGAGGCAACCAGCAACTAACAGCTACCCTTAACCCTCCAGCCGGAAAGCTTAAAACTGGAAGCTTCCGCGGCCTATGGACCGCACCTCTATTTCGTCTATATATATATACACATACATGTTTACATACTCGCAGATATATAGATGGGTAGATGGGTAGATAGCTAGATAGATCGAGTGATAGGTAGATAGATAAATAGATAGATAGACGGGTAGGAAGATACGTTTCAGAGGCTGGTTGACAGATACACAGATAGATTGATGGATGGCTGGATGGATGGATAGATAGATAGGTATTACTTAAGCGGGCATGTTGGACTCTTGAGACTTGCTGGTTGTGCGGTGTGCGGTTCGTGGGGCGCTTTAAGGGCACCGAAGCACTGTTGCATTTGGAGGTGGCTGAGGCTTTTTAGTGGTGCGGGTCAGCTCGCCGAAGTTGTTGCCAAGTCACTATCCGTCCTGATGTTTATCATCTTCATTATCGGGTCTGTGCGATCCACCCATAGGCTCCAGTGTAGTTCCTTTTGGGATTACTAAATATGAACCACAAAAAAGGAAGTACTATGGAGCCTCTAGGTGATGCTTCGGTACACTGATTCCGGCTGCAGAGGTTGCTCGGATTTTGCAGTTAGAGCAACGACCCGAGCACTAGAACGTGCTTCTGACATGTGATGGTCAAGGCATTCGGGTCAATTGAACTCATGATTAGAGTGATTTCTCTTCATGTTCAAGGATAAAAGCTTCATGCAGGGTTTAGCAGGTGTTTGCGGCGATTAAAGTTCAAGGCTCAGGTGTGTTTTGGTCTGAAGTCTGGGGTAGAGGATTAGAAGCTGCCATGGGCAGTACAGAGAGCAAGGTCTGGGGTAGATCAGCTTTAGGGTTTTGGCGTAGGATCTCGAGAAGACGTTAGCTCACAGAAGCCCTGAACCTTAAACTCTAACCCGAAACCCTGACACCAAAGCCTAACGCAAGACTCACAAGAGCCTCAGCCGTCCCTTCCCCCCCTCCGCAGGTCTCCTCGAGCCATAGACCCTCAAAGTTTGGCCCCTAAAGACCCCGCTGTAACCTGAAAAAGGATCCTGTGCAAACACTTCTGCGAGCCTCTCATAGAACCTGCACATACGTAAACCCCAAAACTCACGAAAACTCATCGAAGCCCCTGGCTTTACGGGCTCAAACCCTTACGAAAGTCATCGAAGCCCTTTGAAAGCTCAGCGTGTAAACGTCTTATTCGCCCCGCTCGAAGAGGCGCCATCCTCCAAGGAGGCGAAGGCAAGTCTTGGGAACTAAGTTAGCTTGTTTTGTCTTTTTCAGGAGCTAAGTTTGCTTGTTTTGTCCATTTCAGGAGCTAAGTTTGCTTGTTTTGTCCTTTTTGGGAGCTAAGTTTGCATGTTTTGTCCTTTTCTGCCGGCTGTTGGTGCAAAGTGTTGGTGGTTCTCTCGGTGGCAATCTATTATTCTGAACTCTTTCAGTGTTGTATGCAAAAAGACATGACTTTGTTCTTGGAGCTATCTGTTGGTTGGAAACCGAATTAATGCTGTGTACTCGGCTGGTTTGGTTATAGAAGGATCTTTCGTGGCTTAGGATTTAGGGCTGGTTGTATGGTGCAGGGCCGTGGGTTTTGGCGGGTGGAGGCGTTGCAGGATTTGTGGGTGTTTGGGTTTTTCAACCCCCAAAAGACGCAAGTGTAGACATTCAGCACCGGCCAATAACCAGGCAGCCACGGATGTGTGTTTACCAATTTGTGAAGTACTTGGGCAGTCACTACCTGCAGGGTTTTGCGCTAATTGCCTACTCATACTCCCTCAGCGGTATAGGCTTGTAGTCCCTACCAGTCCTACCCTGTTACCCCCCATCGCTGAAGATCTATCACGAATCTACAGCCGTGGGTCCTTTCGCAGAGGCTGCGTCCCTGCCCACACCGAAAGATCGTCTCCGATGTGTCGGAGATTAAAGGTCTTGGGGCTGCCTCAACTGGATCAAAGATATAGAAGACCGAAGAAAGCTCAGGAGCAGTGATTCCCAAACCTTATCAATCAAAGGGTAAAAGGAGGGACCCCTAATAAGGACCCCTAGGTATATACCCATGATATAGCCATTATACACCCATCATATAGCCCATCATAGGGTAGGGGTCCCCATTAAGGGTCCCTCCTTTCCCCTTTGAATCAGGGTTAAGGACAGTAACCCTAAACTAAACCTCAAACCCTGACTTGTCTGTGAGCCAGGTCCAATCCCTCATCAAGTCGGAGGCGAGGAAGAAAAAGAGGCGCCCAGCCAAGTTGGTGTTGAAGGGTGTCCTGTAGCCCAAAGATCTTACTTTTACGAAGGAGTATAAACAAAAAACCTGAACCAGGTGTTTCTTTTGGGTTACAGGTTAGGTTGCATATGGTTGCATTGGAGCTTCGAGTTTGGCGACCTCAGGGCTTTGCTTTTAGGGTTCAGAGCTTTTCGGACCTTCGGATGTGTGTTTTAGGAGAAACCCGGTTTCATGGTTAGCCCTCAACGCTTGATGGGGTTTCGGGGGTTTAGTGTTGCGGTTTAGGGGCCAAGGAGTTTAGGGCTGCTGCGTTAGGGAGTTCAGGTTTCAGGGTTTAGGGTTTGCGGATTTATACATCCACTACGTACTGCCGGAAGGGAATGCCACGTTTGATGTCAGGGCAGTGCCGATCCCTATAAAGACTTGTACATCTTGTCTCCTTCACGCAGTCACATTGACGACAAGCCTCTTAAACCTCAACCCCACCCATGAGCTCCGAATCCCGACTTTGAGCTAAACCCCACCTATGCGCCATTCTGCGAAACCCCAAGATTCTGAAGCTTTACCGTCCATAAACCTTTCGACTGCAAAGCCCCAAGGCCTTGAGATTCAAATCCCTGTAAATGAACTACAACTTTCAAAGCTGCAGTTCAGCCCGTCTGGCAGGGAAGCCAGTTCCTGACTTTAGCCCAACGACCTTTGTCAGGAGCAAGACCTTTTGCAGGACCACTCGGTCCTTCATTCTCTATAGCCTTCCTCTCAGACTCCGATGTCACTAGACTGGCAGGGCAGCCACCAAAGGCACTGCACCTGAAGTCAGTGTCACGCTCCTGGGAGGGAGGATAGCAGCACGCGGCAGAAGGCCTACTCCCAAAGCCTGCGTGGCACGTCCAGCGAAGTTTCTCAGTGGCTGCAAACCTGTACATTGATTGACATGGAGAAAAGTGGTGTCGGGCTGGCCGAGGAGCTGATTTAGCCGAAGAACGAGTTGCGGCCGAAGCAGGAGAAGTATGTCCTCGACTGCTTCGTGTCAAAACTACGTTAAGCAGGCTGCTACGAACCCACTGCGTCGCCCACACCTGCTCAAACTCCATCGTCTCCTGGGCAAGGCAAAGCGCCCACATCGCACAGTCATCTCTGAACCTTCTCCCCCGCACCACTCAACCTTCCCCCCCGATAAGCTCAAGACCCTAGCGCCCCAAAGCTTAAACCTTGGAGAGTTTGGACCCTAAGCCTCAACCCCCGAGTCGATGCACGGAAGAAACACTCCATGAAACCCTCTCAAGAATTCTGCAAGTCTCTAACTCTCCAAACCAATGGAAAAACCTTCCTTTTGACGGACCTTTCTCGGAGAACTCTAAACAGATATTTTTACAGGGTCCAGGTAACCCTAAACCCTGACCCAAACCCTATAAACCGTTAAAGAGAATTTAGGCATTGAACCAAAAAATGAACCAACAACTGAGCCGCGACCCGAAACCTAAAATCCATGAACACTTCTGGAGACCTAAGATTATATGGCCGGACGAGTTACCAATCTCTATGATACACCGCATTCCTGGTATAACTTAGGCGCCTATACTAAACCCTATTAATAACCCTGAGAAGGAACCGCTTGATTCAAGTTCTTCTTATCATATCCGTAAACCCTAAACCCTAAACTCCAGGGTTTGTTATCAGCCGGTCGCGAAAGGTTGACTGGTACTCCTGCCAGTCTTCACCTCTCGAGACCTCTCATGGCTTCGCAGTTGGGGAGTTCAAAAACAAACTCGTAAACCCTCAAATACCCCCTAAGCCCCTAAATCGAAACCCGAAGCCCCTATAATCGAAACCCGGGGGGGGGCCCGGCTTTTTGGTGTGAGACGGATCCTTCTCCATTAAGGCTCCTACAGCTCCGGAACGCGAAGCTGGGGATGCTAAACAAGCTCCTAGAGCAGGCTTTGTGGGCTTTTGGGCTTCGGAGTTTATAGGGTTTTAGGATGCAGTTTAGGGGTGTTGCTTTGGGGGCTGAAGGGCTCGAGGGGTTAGGGAGTTTTATGTAGGAGGTTTGGATGTTGGGGGGGGGGAGGCTTTAGAGTTAAGGGGTTAAGGCCTTCGTTTTGTGCTCTCTTTCTAACGATTTTTGTTGGAGGTTTAGAGCGGTGTGTAAAGAAAGGGTTCTACACGGGGTCCTACTGGAGCTCGACCACGTTTCTATCACGATTCTAAACGTATTTTTCCAGGCTTGAAAAGCTCCTTCAGTGTTCCATATGGTTATTATTTATTTACAACCGATTTTAGAGGCAGTAGGGTTGGGGTTCGGGCTGTTTTCAGTTTCGTAGTTTGCTTTTCAGTGGCTTTAGCGGGATTTGAATGGTGTTGCATATTTTGCAGCGGGGTGTAAAGGGGGGTCTTAATTGGTGGGGTTGGCGCTTCTGGGTGTTCCTCGGCGTTCAGGATTGGTAAATGTTTAAGGATGGGAGCAGTTTGTTCGTTCCGCAACGACATCTAGGGCATGTCTATTTCAGTGCAAGCCTTCTATCGGGTCTGTGTCTAGGACTTCCTCAAGATTTGCATTGGAGCTTCACAAAGAAGCGGATCATGATTGAGCAGGATCATGCCGTCACATTCCCTTGGAGTAAAGACTAGAGGCTATAGGGCATCTGCGCACTAGTTTAATTTGCCTTATCCCGTCTCCTAACCTGCTAGAGTTCACTGAAGGGTTTGATGAGTCAATGGTTCAGGTTCAGGGCTAAGGGTCCAAAGTGATTGATTGAAGGTGGGGCTTCAGGCTTCGGGATTTGTTGGCTTTTGTTTTGGGGTTTGGGGTTTGAGGCTCTGAGAGTTTCGGCTGCTTAACGTATCGTGGCTTTCGGGATGCAGGGTTTGCAGGCTCTTGGTTGAGGATGTAGGTTTTGTAATCAGGGGTTTGGGACGTTTGGGCCCTCAGCCCTAAGCTCATATCCTTTATTTGCTAGATGTCCTGTTTCAGGTTGCCCATGTACGGGACACTGTTGCATATGCGGTCATGAAAGCCCTTACATGCAGGATCCTTGAACTCTGCTGGGCGAGAGGCTCCATTGCATCTGAAGGAAATCAACAGCCCCAAACCCCCAGGCCCCAGAGCATGACCCTTCAAAGCCCCTCAACCGACACATGAAGACAAGCCGAAACCCCCAACTAGCTCTGAACCCAACACCTTAAACCTCTAAACCCTATAGACCTTGGACCCTAAACCCTATGCCCCTAATTGCCCCAAGCCTCGCTTGGGCCCCTGCGGAGGCTGGCCTGACGCAGGAGCTTCGCCCAAGCGCCGCGCCGGAGACGGTTGAGGTCCAGCGGGGGTAGGGCTAAAGTTCCGAAAATTAGGGGTACCTTAGAGCCTTAGGGCTCCTTTAGAGGGTTACTATACGGGTTCCTTAAAAGGGCTCTATAAGGGGTGTAGAGTCTGGTTTTTTTCAGTTTGGAAGACCCTGGACTCGGAGGAAGCTACCCTACCTTTACACACCCACATCCCAGCCCCTCAGGCCCATGAAAGACAAAACTGCAAGTAACGCTGTCAAACCAAATGCAAACCTAAACCCTAAACCCCAGATCATGCGGCCGGATGACTTAGATTCCTCGATCCTTGAACAATATAAAGGAGTGGTGCATTACACTTAAAACAATATAGGGGTGCCCTTCGGCAAATGTTCAAGTGAGCTGAGCTTTTAAGGCTCCGGGGGGAGTCGCGGCTTCGGAGCGCGAGAGTTGAGAGAGCTTCCGGGCCTTGTGCTTCGAAAGTGAAAACCCAGAGACTCCAATATTCCTTCATGAAGGAAGGTTAAAGTTGGGGTTCCTACTGACTATAACTTAAGGTAAGTATATGCCTTAATCAAGAGGTCTCTTGGGGCTCCTTCAACAATTTAAGGCATATTCCTCAGTTAAGGGATATTGGAGTCTCTGGGATCGAGCTTCGCCTCCAATCCCCAAGCCTTCTGTGAACATGCGCAGAGAGAAGCAGGGCGTATGGCACTCTACCAGCATCCCAACAGAAAGCCCAAACCAGGCACTCAGCTCTAACCCGACAAACCGCGAAGAGATATGAACAAGACTGATGCGACACCCTGTAAACCCAAACCCCGATCCCCAACAACAGACTAAACCCTAAACCATCCCCCCTCCAAGAAAAAAAAACTCTACAGATCAATCCAAAGCCCCCGAATCCAGGAGCGCACTGCCCGCAGAGGGAAGGCCAGTGCACCGGCTCTTTGGGAGTTCTTTGTTGTCCTCCCCTGTAGGGTTGAAAATTCAGGATCGTCTGTAGGGTTAAAGGTTTAGGGTCCATAGAGTCGAAGTTGAGGGCTTGCAAGGTGTCGATTTGGGATAGCTTTCAAATGGCCACTATTGTTGAATATTGTTAAATTCTAGACCTACTAATGTAGGGTTTACAACTCAGGGTGTAGGGTTCAGAGTCCAGTGCTGCCGGAGGGTCTAGAGTTCAGGGTCTTGGGTCCACCCTAGACCCTAAACCCGCCCGAGATGGAGCCAGCATTGTCGTGCCTGTTTTGCTGATAGCCCTAGTGTTAGAGCAGGTGGCATTTAACAATCCACATATACTCACAAAGGTTAACCTGTAGATCCCCACAATACTTGACAAGTAGGTAACCAAGTTGATAGCAGGTAGGGCCCTAATCCCGATGCGAAACGTTGGTGGCTGATCCGAACCATAGAGAACCGGGTGACCACAAAACGGACCATGCACCGAGCTGTAAGTAGAGTTTCGAGTCTGGTAGGGCCCAAGGTTTAGAGTTAAGGGGTTTGCATCTGGCGCTTGTTTGGTTCAACGGTGTAGAGTTTAGAGTGTTGAAGCTGTTTCTGTGATTTCGGCGGGGACGTTGTTGCTTGAAACGGCGCACGTGCCTCCAACCCTTTCTTTCAAGTTTGACCACAGCCAAGTTGGCGAGGTTGAATTAAGGTGGGGAACCAAGCTGGCTCTGGTAGAACTGATCTTGCTGGACTTCATATCGGCTTGCTGTGTTCCAGGTCCTCTTTCCAACGACTTTCGGTAAATACAGAGTCACCAGACACCGCAACCCACCGTTTAGCTTTACTCCGCACAGCATCCGAGGCGGATTCGCTCATCCAGACACAGTCACTGTGAGCGTGGCCACATGAGCTGTGCCACAGCGCGATTCGAAGCGCCTCCTAAGAGTTGCGCATGAGTTGGAGATGGATGGCTATGTGTTCAACAAAACGGCCGCTCAATGCTGGTGATGCATTTCCGACCCGGGGCCCCAAGGTTCCGTGCGGTGCGACACAGTCAGTTTGAAGACGGCTGACAGCCTTTCGCCTGGTCTAACCCCTGAACCCCTAAACCCTGCACCCCTAGACCCCAAAGTGGTAGCTACATGACAGCATCAGCTTAAGTGGGGGACAATCGCTGGCGCCCATCTTTGGGCCGAAGCCAAGTTTGACCAGCACAGCCCCTAACGTTCATCGGGATTAGGAGTTTAGGCTTCAGGAGTTCAGGGTTTAGGAGTTTAGGGTTCAGAGTTTAGGGTTTAGGGTTCAGGAGTCCAGGGTTTAGGAGTTTAGGGTTCAGGGGTTTAGGACCCGGCACTGCCCTTTTGTATTGGGGTGCAGCTTGCATCACAGGCGCATCAACCCTGCAAACTAAAACTCCACACCCTTAACGATAGTACTTAGGAAATCGAGGGAGCAGGGACGCTAAGATTCTGTAGTTGGAGCTACCGCAAAGCTGTTCGCTGAAAACCTTGCTGCATTGACGAGGAGTTGGACAACCTCCAAGAGCGGAATCGCCGGCTCAGCACCCCGACAAAGTCTTTCAGTTTGCTTTGAGGGACCTTGAAGCTAAACTTAGATGTGGAGTACGTAAACTTTGTTTGGGGGACGTATATTCCTCTCAGAATGTTCCCTATAGTTCCCTTAGGTTCCTGGACAAGTAGGTAAAGTTTTGCAAGGGTTGATGGGTTTGGGGTTCAGGGTTGGTGCGCCGGATTTACGAGAGTTAAGGGCTGAGGGTTTATGGACTTCATTACTTCAGGGCTTGGAGTTTGGGGAGGCCTTAGGATTTCGGGGTTGAGTCTCGAAGCTCCTAAAGGTGTGTACAAAAAACAGTGGCGTGACAACGCTACATAAACCGTATACCCTTTGACCGTAAAGCCAAGGCTCAGACCTTAAACCCAAACCCTGAACCATTGCACAAGACATAGATGCCAGGCGAGCCCATCAGCAGTGTTACACATGAGGCTTCACAGCGCTTAGAGGCTTAGAGATTGGGGGCAGTAGGTAAGGGGAATCTTCAAACACTGCCGCCGAGGTTTCAGTCTATTTTCAGACTTCCTGCTTCGCTTTCACAGAGACTCCCCTCCCAAACTCCCAAAGCCATTTTTTATGGTTTGCTGCAAGTGCGCTTTAGTACCCTGGCCCTAGACCCTAAACACCCTACACCTCATACCCTCAGGAGGGCTGATATGGTTCAACTCGACGGTCTTTTGCCTCTCCGCGCGAAGCCCTGAACCCTAAAGCCATCAAACCTACACTCCGAAATCCTATACAACACTAAGCACATGTTATACTCTGCCACATTGTCGTTTAGTGCGTTATGGTCTGTATGGTATAGTATTGTCTGGTAAAGTATAGTATGGTATAGTAAAGTGCAGCAGTAAAGCACAGTACAATATAGTACAGTACAGTATACTACAGTCTAGTACGGTATAGTACAGTATAGTACGCTATAGTCCAGTATAGTAGTATGGTATAGTATAGTGCTTTTATACTGAACCTTCACCTCTAAGGCAAGCAGCTGGACTTCTGGGATCAGCGCATCGAGCACCGAAAGACGATTGTGAAGGGCGAGCGGAAGCAACTGAGGAGATAACGGGTGTAGGGTCGTATATTGTTGACGGAGAGAATGGATCTAGGGGCTTACAGGGTTGATGGTCTGTGTTTCCTCCTTAGTTTCCGTTTGGACTTAGGGTTTAGGGTTCGGGGTTTAGGGTTCGGGGTTTGAGGATGAAGTCCCTGTGCAGATCACTCAAGTCGCGATAAACGGTAGCGGCTTCGATCAAGAAGCACCCCGAACCCCTAAACCACAGCACGCGGCTTTGGACAGACTGCGAGCCCTAATCCCTAAACTCTGAGCCTCCGAGACACTGCCTTAGACCACGAAGCCCTGAAGCCCTGAACCTACTGCACCCCTCCACTCCGAATGATGACTCGAGTGTTTTGCAGGAAGGAGTTCGGGAAGAAATGGGAGAGGAAGCTTGAGCATCACGGCTGCCATGGGCTGTGCTGCGATCATTTGCAGGTTCAGGGCTCTCAGGTGGGACAGGCAGTGTCAGACCAACGCATGCATAGATGGCATGCTGGAGTTGTGCATCTCTCATTTAGTGTAGATAACTGTAGATAGATAGATAGATAGATGAGTACACAGATACATAGATGGATTGATGAGTGGATAGATAGGCAGTTAGGCAGATACTTGCAAATTTCTGTGTGTCTTTACATGCGCAGCCATCCATTCATCCATCCATACATCCCTCCACCACTTTGTCCATGCATGCATTGATGTATGTATGCGTATATGTGTAAAGTCTCTCTCTCTCTCTCTCTCTCATTATATATATATATATATATATACGCGTATATATATATATATATATATATATATATATATATATATATATATATATACCTATATATATATATATACCTATATACATATGTATATATATATATATATATATATACTTTCTGTCTCTCTCTCTCTGCCTGTTTTCCTGTCGGGCTCGTCTCTAGGTCTAGGTATAATATATGCCGTGCGCGCCAGGGTGGTAGAACCCCGGCTCTTGAGAAGATTACCTCGAAGGGCCTGGTCATAGGTGGAGCTTGGGGTTTAGGGGTTTAGGGTTTAGGGTTTAGGGTCTAGGGTTGAGGCCTGAGCAACAGAACCCACGAAAGCCCATTCGCCCTTGGGCGCAAGAGAACTGCTAATGGGGTTGACCTCATGCCTAATTCCTGAGCCGATGCTCCTAAACTTCGTAATTGGAAGATATCAAATCGTTTAGTTGGATAGAGCCCAAGGCCGAGCCTTTTAGGCCCGAACGTCAAATCCAAGCCTCAGACATCGATACCTGGGCCTGGTTCCCAACTCTGAAATCTGAGCTTCAATACCGTCAGTACCTCTACATGTTGTAGAGTCCAGAAGTTTGGAACATCGTCAGGGTTTAGGGTCCAGGGTCATCCTCGCGAACTTAGGGCAGGATTCGGAGAATATCAGAACTGCTCACGTGTAATCCATGTTGTAGATATTTGCAGTCGACCGTAACGACAGAGCCCGAAACCCTGAAGCTTAAATCCTACACCCTCAACTGAGCCGTACACCCTAAACCCTCAACCCGACACCTAACCCCTATAATTACACCCTACCTTGCTGTCTCCTGTAAACTCCTTTTTCGCTTTACGATACGGGCTTAGGGTTTAGGAACCCTTGTAGAACCTTGTAAATTAGTAGTATATAGTATAGCCTAAACCTTTATACCCTTGTAGACCCCTTCTCACTTCTTCAGGCCTCGATATCAAACTTGCTTCGCCTTCCCATCCCGGGAACCCCGGGCCTCGTGAGGCAAGCCCTCCTTGGAAAAGAGGAGGTCGAGGTGGGGTTCCCCGCGTCAGGGGCTGGGCTAAGGGGTTCAGGGGTGTAGGGTTTTAGGTTGGGGGAGGTTTAGGGTTTAGGGTTTATGGTGAGCTGTTCGGGTTCTGAGGGCTTCTGGTAAAGAGTTTGTGGGATTCCGGATCTCGCCTGCGCGGCGGGAGTGTTTACGGCCTGAATGAGCACGCATTTCAGCGTCCAGGATTTGAGGGTTTCGCTAAGGGTCCATGTGCCCATTAAGTCTATACTTTGGGCCCAATGTACCGATATTTTTGGTTACTTTAAGGTCAAAGTACACGTAGTATTCGGGTACATGGACCCTCAGGGTTTGGTGGTGTGACACCCCAGCTCAGGAGCCCGAATCCGACAGCTTGCCATCCTCATCGTCGTCTTCGGAGTCGGAGGAGGACATCGGAATCGAGACTTTCAGAGAGCTGAGCTCAGACCTCTGATTCGTAGATTTCCGGGCTTCCTGCAGACCCCTGAGTGGCAGGCTCTTGATCCCCAAAATCACGATTGGAAGCTGATTCGTAGAGTCCTATCCCCCCCCAAAAAATGACGATTGCAAGCCTGACTCGGAGAAAGGCGTTGCATTAACTAATGGTTCTACGATTTATGGCTCAGGGTTCAAGCCTTGCTTGAATCCGATATATCTCATGTTTTTCCTTGCAGATTTTCTTGCCAATTACTTTATAAGTTTCCTCAAGAAAGGTAGGTTATTTAGGGTCAAGGTGATCCTAAGACCTAGAACGTGCACCCTTGGTCAAAGCGGCGCCTTTGAGGGGATCGGCTTTGCAGAGTCGAGACTAATAGGCATCCCCTGCATAGTAGTCGTCAGCCAGCAGCAGTCATACTCCTCGTATAAGTCATGGTGATAATATTAAGAGCAATAGGACCAATCATTGCAATCAGCAAAGGAGGCTGCTAAGTCGTGGTTTCACTCAGCGGGGATTTTAGAAGTTTAAGGCTTAGGGTTTGGGGTAGAGTCTATGAGTCTATGAGTGTGTGTCGGTTGTGTCATTGTTCGGTCAATGCTCGGCATGTTTTTGTTCATGTTAAGGCCACCGTTTATCTACGGATCTTTGTGCAAAGGTACACACACTTTAGTGACAGCTGTGCTGAACCAGCTGAGATCATAGTATGTTGTGTTTGCATGGCCAGCTATCCCATACATGGTGCCACGCTGCATTCCCCCCAAGATATGATGTCCTTTCACCCCTCCACGGCCCCTCTACATACTCTGCCACCTCCTGGGTGGCTGGGATGGGGCTTGGATTAGGGGGATAATTTGTTTTGCCTGCGAACAAATCGAAACCACCGAATTTAGGGTTGAGGGTTTAGAAGTTTTGTTTTAGGCTTTGGGTGGGTTTGAGGATGGTGTGCCTTGCGGCGTAAACGGCCCAGTTTATGCTTCCGAAACTGAAAAAAACTGAACCTGGAGTCCCGCAGACCCCAAAGCGCGAACCCCGAACCCTGAACTCGGTGGCCTGTAATTCTTGTTTCCGTTGGCGTAACCGGAAATTCAAGAAACCCAAGGCCTTTAGACTTTGAGCCTGTGAACCCTAAGTTGGCTTGAAGGCTTAGCCACGCCTTGGGATCAGGGCACTCAGACAGTCATTGCTGTGTCAAGCTTCAGCCAGCTCTGTTTCTGCAACTGCAACCTTCAGCATGTCTTTTTTGTGGAGGCTGGTACAGGGGTTTATTCGGTTCTTGTTTGGACAGTTCCATGGGACGTTAGAGGGCTTTACTTGGGCTTGGTGTAGGGAGATTCCTCGGGGGTTAAACCTGACCCTACAGGAGCCATCTGTGACCGCCGACGAGACAGAAGGCCTGCTGTTTCGGGGTTGGGATTGAGTCAGAGATCCCCGCACCAGAAGAGTTCGAATACCGTTTTGGAGTATGTTAGAGAATGACTGCACAGAGCAGTAGAGGTTGTAAGTAAGGAGTCTCACAAACCCAGCACCGGACGCACAGTGAAGCTAAGTTTGTTGCGATGCCATGCGAACGTACACATCCCTTGCCATGAAACATTCTGCATCCCAGACGGTCACGTACCCCTCCGAACATGTCCAGAGCCCTCAGCAATCACAAACTTATGCTTGCACTCAGTTATTTATGCATGTTTTCATTCATTGATTTAGATATTCGTTCATTAATTCATTAGTTCGTTCATGTCCTGTTTTCAACATTTCAGTCTGTTGTTCTTTCATTCCTACATTCGTTCGGTCATGCATGCATTCTTGCATCAGTCCGTGCGTCCGTCCGTGCGTCCGTCCGTCCATCATTCAGTCAGTATTTCTTCATTTCGTTCTTTCTGCCGTTTTGTTCGGTCTAATTAGTTGTCTGTCTTTCGTGCTTTCTATCAGTAGCTCAAGCCTTCATACCTCATTGGTTGGTTCATCCAGTTATCACTTGCTCACTCATTCAGCCACTCACTCACTCAGTCATTCCACACGTGCATGCGTCGTTTCAACCATTAACTCACCCATCCATTGATGCATTCTTTCCATTATCCATTCATGTTTTCCTTCTGTCCTTTCCTCGTTCCTTCCTGCCGTTGTTCGCTCGCAAACTGCATTCCGAGAAGACAGCGCTGGCAAGAGGATGCAGGACTGCGAGAGACTGCGATTCTGCAACATACTGCACTTGACGTGACGCACAGGGCCGATGAGGCTCGGGGGGTGATCCTGCCTTGATGCGATCGTCAAAGATTATGTGGGCAAAGCCAGAGCAGAGGCACTGGCGGAAACAGCTGATGCCCCTAGGTTTGGGATCTTCCCAGAAGGTATCGCAACTGGCAATGCTGCAGCACAGCTGCCGAGGCTGGCTACAATATCCACAAACTTTGAAGGAAGTCTGCTCTCTTGGATCAACAGACACATCAGCTGCTCAGTATAGGCCACAAGACTTCATGGTGCAATATCAGACTATGGTGACTGGTCCGCATCACGGGGAAGTGGCCTGTGCCACTCTTTGCGAGGGGCAGCTGTGTGACCACACTCCCCTATTGCAGCCGTTGTGGATTAGAGGAGATCGCGTTGAACCACGTGCTGGGTCAAACATGTTGCGTGACACAGCAAGGACATATGAAATACAAAGTATCTTCAGTACCCGGCAAACTGCAGATGAAGTGTTCGACAGCATCTGCTTTGTGAGTCACAGAGTTGGTCAGCAGCTGTTGGGAGGGCCGTGGTTCTGCTAGCCTCCGTGAAGGAGGGCTTGAGACCTGGGCGCGAGACTTGGCAATTGAGCGGCTTGGTGAGTAGAAAAAGAAGTATGGGGGACATTATGGGATGTGTTCACACCAAGGCGAGCACGCTGCTGGACCTGCAAGGCTTGACATTGAGGTGGCGAGCACCATGCTTGCCTGCCCCCTCTAGTATTTGAACCCGCTGAGGGACAGGCTGGATTGAGCATTTGAGCAATGGCCTCCTAACAAGCTCGCCAACACGCAACCATGCAGGATTGCTTCGTTTTTTGTTCAAGGCAAACTTTCACCGGTTATGAGTCATGATTTCGCGTGGAGAGATGCAGCGCGGTTCCATGCGTGGGAAGCAAACATCACAGGCAGGTTATTGTTGGTTGGTATTCGTTCTTTCGCTGTCGGCCGACAGGGCTAGAATTCGCTTGAGTTTGGACCGTTTTTCGTTTTGATTACTGTATTTATAGGAGTAGGCAGGGAGGCCGAGTGCGATGTAGGTTTTTGGTGCCTCTGACAACGGCTTAAATTATTGGATACCGTTAAGCAAGACAACGTGGGCGTGGGCATCGGCCACAGTGTAGCAGCATGTCGCGCTGTGCTTCAATACAGAACTGGGAGCCCGAGTCCTTATAAGGAGCCCGAGTGGGAGGCTATGAATGAAGTTGGCCGCAGGCGCTTTTAATCCAATGTGCACCGACGCCATGTGCTGCTAGGCAGGATGCGCTCCCGTTCGCTAAGTTGGCGGCCCAGTAGCGCTTGCTTGTTCTGCACTTTGTCGACGATGCCTTCGCTTTGCAGTCCACTTGAACTTGTATGGGTTGCTACAGGTGTGTTACTCGACGCGATGGTCATCCTGTCAAATTCGCAGCAGCGTGAAGTATTGGGGATGTTTTTCGACGAAAACCTTAGGTATACTGCAAAGTTTAAAGTGCCAGCGCTCGTCCGGCAGCTGTCATTGGAGTGCCCTGCTTCAAGTTTGCTCGAGCCTGACATCTCGAAAGTCTGACTCCTTGCAGGTATCTTGGTGGGATTGGAAGAATCACAGCGCAGGATACTTTGAAGCTGCAAAAAGGATTGCTGTGTTTGGCCGCATTAATCAGCATCTATGTTGCTTACATGTGGACCCGCTGGCCTTGGGGCGGAGGCACGCATGAAGCAAGGTTGAAGTCCCGCCAACTGCCTGGGGTCAACATGTTCTGCATCTGAATCTGAATCTTCGTCCTTTCATGTATGCTGTCTGCCCTGGATGCGTCCATTCAAGCATTCATTCGTTTATTTCATTCATGTTTCGCTAATTCGTTCATTCGTTCTTTCTTTCGTTCATCCGTTAATTCGCTCGTTCCTTCGTTCCTGCCTTGCTTCCTTCCTTCCTGCACTCATTCACTTAAGCCTGCATGCATTCACTCCGTCAGCCACTTTGTTTCTCATTTTGCACGCTTTCCTATGTCTACATATTACTCTGTGCATCTGTGTGTGCATGCGTGTGTGTGTGTGTGTGTGCGTGTATGTTGTATGTATGTATGAATGTATGCATATTATCACACCAATAGCAGCACATGCATGTATGCTGCAAATGGGTACGCGCCTGCATACGTACATGCCTTCGTGCTTACCCTACGTATGCACATACAAGAACAAGGGGGGGAACCTCAAACCGTAAATAGATCTGACAGGCACTGGGCTGGCCACCAGCCCGAAGTCGGAGGATGGACGGCAGATCCGCATCGGCCGCTATGTTCGCCAGGCCTTCCGGCTCAGCTTTGGGGGTGTTGGGGTGCACGGATTGTAGCCATTTGCAGAAGGGCAATATAGTTGCGTGGGCTTGTACAGGGTTTCATGTGAACCTCAGGCCCTCGACACTACACCCGCAGCCTAAACCCTAAACACATCATTGAGCCATAGACATGTTGGGTGCCCGGCCCGGGAGGCTTTCAAGCTGCGCGACCGGCCAAAGAAAGTTCTGAGCTGAGACCAAAGGCGGTTCCAGTAAAGCGTTCGGGTTCAAGGTTTGGGTTAGAAAGAGGGAAAGAACCTGTGCACAACGATTTGGCGAATGTTAGCAGCATGGATTTGCTGAAGTCGTCTATGTGCCGAGGCCTTTCTATGGTGTTGTTAGTATCGGGGGTTTCCTTTGTATTTTTTACAAGAAGCGCCAAACAGTAATGTACGATCCAGCAACCTGCCTTCTTTATTTTCTGCAGCCAGTTCTTGCATTTACGTAGCCCAAACAAGAGTCGCCAGCGTACCGTGAAGACGAAAGCATTCCTTTGAACAGTAATGATTGTACGTGTTTCCAATTTCTGTTTTTTCGTGGTGTAGTGCCTGTGTCAATATAAAAGTCTGAAGACCCACCAATGTTAATATGATTCACGAGCGATCCCAACTATGGTTACGATTGTACAATACCCCCCACCCACATGACACCAAACAAAGCATACGTCGTGACTAAGGAGCCTGCCATGCCAAATTTTCAGGCGACAGTCGGTGCCATTAGCTTTTTGGACACTTCCGGGTTTCGTGACAAGCTAGGGGAAGGGATAGGGTTTGGGGTCTAGTTTGTAGTTTGGGGCGTGGAGTGTACAAGCAGGGTTCAGGGCTTCGGGTTTATAAGGCTTCAGGGCCCACTTACAGCCCGTGTTTAACCACCTTTTGATTGGCTCCAGCTCCTGTGCTGATTCGTGTGGCTTTGTCACTACGGGTGTAGGGATTTTGGGATGTCTTGAGTTCTGTGGATACAGGTGATGTTGCCTGAGGTTTGGGATTTGAGGTGTTTGGGGGGTTTTGGTAGTGGAGCTTGGGGCTTTGGGGATAAGGGATAGATGAGCAGGAGGCCATGGGATAGGAGAAGACAAGTACCATAGGGGCCTCAACACTTACCTATACTATTTGGTGGGGTGGGGTCCTTATCATAATTAACAGCATAATTAATATATATATATATATATATATATATACAGCATAATATATATATATATATATATACACCTCAAACCCTACTCTTCTTGTTTCTGCCCCTCAAGTCGAGTTTGGATTTTGTAGGCTGAGTAGGTTCAAGGGCTTCCCTCGGACCGGCGGCAGCATGGGATGCTGTCGTGTGTTTGTTTCTGGCAAGGGGCTTTTGGGAGTTTTTTAGTTGTATGAGAGTGATGATTATTGAAAGCAGTCTGGTTCTTATGTGTCGCTCAAAAGTTTGGGGCTTAGCAGTGTGTTTGCTCGGCGTTTCGTAACATTTCCTCTGGCCATCCTCGACGAGAGTGGCAGACCTGATTTTGAGCGTCCTGTCCATGCGCAACCCTAAACCCCAAACCGCCCTAACGGATCCGGGCTCTTAAGCGGCGCCTCGGCCCTTCAGCCGATCAGCCCTAAATGCCAAAGCACCACAGCCCTAAATTTGAGTGTCCGAGCATATAAAGCCATCGTTCCCCAAAAGCCCTAGACTTCGAAATCTTAACCTTAAGCCCGATATGGTTTGCTTTGTCTTAAAGGAATCCAACCCCGCCAAAATCTTCAACCCTAAAAGCCCTAAACTTCGGAAAGCCTTACAGCCAAAAAGCATTGAAAACCGAAAAACTCAAAACCCCAAACCTTGCAACACAACAGATCCAAAGCTCCAAACCTTCAGCCGTTGTGCACTGATCTGCCTAAACAAGCT